CCGCAGGCAGACCAGATGCAGATGAGCGCCCCGGAAGTGCTGTACCCGCGGGTGGCACCGCCCCCGGTGGAGCACTACGTGCCCCGAGGCCTGGACCCCAGCATGCCCGTCATCGTGAACACCTGCAGCCTCCGGGAGGAGGCCGAGGCCCCGGAGGACCGGCACTCGGTGGCAGATGGGGAGATGTACCGGTACAGCGAGGACGAGGACTCGGAGGGCGAGGAGAAGAGCGACGGGGAGCTGGTGGTGCTCACAGACTGACCCGGGGGGGACGGCCTCAGCAGGGGGCGCAGCCGGCTCGTCTGGACTCCGTTGGTACTTGGACTTGAGAGGCTGGGAGAGGGCACAGCTGTGTCCCTGGAGACGCAGGCCCCCTCCCCACCACGCCCGCAGGCATGGCTACATGGCAGGGCCTGCGTGGTGGTGATGGCTGAGCTGGGTCTTGGGGGCTCATGGCCAGGGGACACTGTATGACCCTCCCCTCCTGCAGGTCTCCCCTGCTGGGGGATTGGCAGCTTCAGACCCATCTCCCGGGAGCCACACGCTTTGTTCCCATTCTTGTCCTGGCGGGCCCAGCCACCATGGGACAGACCCCCCCGACCCCCCTCCACACGCGCGCACGGCTCCTCTCTCACCGGGATCGCTTTGTACTCGGTGCAGGAAGGCCTGGCTGTCCCTCTGTCTTAGCGCCGCCAAGCCCTGTGTGCCTCTGGCTGCTGTGTGCGTGCACGTGTGTGCGCACGCGTGTTCACCCGTCGTTCACTGCCTATTTATTGAGTGCCCACTGTGTGCCAGGCACTGTTGCTGAGTTCCTGTGTGTCCCCAGATGCTGTCTGGCTTCTCTGGGGGCCTCTTTCTGAGCTCTCTCTGTCCCCACATGGCTACCTCTGTCAGTCTGGGTGTCTCAGGTTCTGTGCCACCTCGTGTGCGTTTCTGTCCTCGTCTCTGCAGGGCCCTGTCTCCCTCTCTCCCCTCCTGGTGTCTGACTGCTGCTCTCCCTGGTCACTCTGGGTCTCTGAAGGACCCTGGGCCCCCCTGGCCTCCCCGCCCGCCCGTTCACCCCCTCCCTGATTGCTGGTGGGTCCCCACAGCCTCTGTCAGCTCCCAGAAGCCTGGGAGTGTGCTCGGCCTCCAAGGAGCTCTGGCCCCTGGCCCAGACCCTAGCCCCACCCAAGTGCCAGCAGTGGGAGCAGGAGGGCGGGTGGCGCCCCCTTCCCGTCAGTGACGGAAGGCCTGGAGAGCGGGCTCCTGTGCACAGGGCTGAATGAGGGAAACCCGGCCCTCGCCTCCAGGGGGAGAGCCCTCCTGCCCTCCCACACAGCTCTGCCCGCTCCCCGCCTGCCCCTCACTCTGCACCGGGGGCCTGACACTGCTCCCGATCACTTCATAGGTTATTTCCTTAAGGAAGTTAAGTCTCATCGGCATGACTCCAAAGACCCAGGTGGGCCAGAGGAGGAAGGGGACCCCAAGTCCCACAGGGGCAGGTGTGGAGTCTGTGCCTACCCCCATCTTCTCCCCAGAGCCCGCCTCTCCAGGCTGTTTCTTTTTTTATGACTGTAAACATAGTGCTTTATTTTGTTAATAATAAGATGATGAGTAACTTAACCAGCACATTCTCCTGTTTACACTTGGAAGTTTTTTGTTTTCTGTGGGTGTAATAAAGGCAGGCCGTCTCAGAGTCACGGGCCCTTGCACGAGGGAGGGGGAAGGCAGGCTCGAGTCAGGGGACCCTAAGTGTGCCACCAGCTCGGGCACAGTGCCCTCGTGGCCGCTCGAGGGACCTCCAGGCGGAGGCTCAACTCCACCCCCTCCCATCCCGTTCCCGCCTGCCGCTCCCTGACCCTGTCCCCAGCCCACAGCGCGCACTGAATGGGGGAGAGCCAAAGCCAGACCTCACTCCAAAGGGTCCTCCCAGGCCCAGGACAGAAGGTGAAACAAAACGCTGTAACGAGCCAGGAAGCTTGGGTTCTCCCACAACTAGCCACATGGCCACATGCGCGCGTGTGTGTGTGTGTGTGTGTGTGTGTGTGTGTGTGTGGCGCGGGTGGGGGTGGTGGTGGTGGTAGTGGGGCGGGGGGGGGGGGAGGTGGTGTCAGGATTCCCCTTTGGGCCTCATTGTCCTCATCCAAAAACAAGCAGGCTAAGCCTTATCCCTGGTTCTTACCCCTTTAAGAGGCGCCTTTGAGAACCCAGTGAAAGCCCGGGGCCTCTAAAGATGGGTTTCAGGGCCACATGATAGATTAAAACTCCCAGCATGGACATTAACAGGGACCCATAAAAAGACTCGTTAAAAACCAATCCTGCTAATACGGAACGGGAGCAGCAGAGCCGAATGGCAGAGCTGTGAGAGAGTCAGATCTGGGTTGGAGTAACAGAGGCACGTGCTCACAAAAAGGGAGGAGATGAGCCAGTGTGCACCCCGCCGGCCAGGCCCCGGGTGCATCATGGCGGTCCTAGGCCCTCACTAGGAAAGGCTGCGGTCACACTGAAGGGGCCGGAGGCGGGCCCTCGGACAGAGGGACCCTCAGGGACCCTGGCTAACAGATGAGGGAAGGGTAAGACTACCTCAACGTCAGATGCCAACAACCTGCCGCTCCTCTGGATGCTTCTCCAGGGCCAGTATTTTGGCTTAAGAGTAAAATAGAACTTTGTGACAAAGATGTTCAGAGTGGTGGTGAACCTCCCACCACAGGAAATGTTCCAGCAGAGGCTCCTGGAGAGGGTGCTGGAGAGAGAAGTTGGGTGTGGCTGATTCCAGGGCCACAACTTGGAAGACCCCCAACAAGGAGGGTCCAGAGAGGAAAGGAGGGGGAGATGGAAGCATCAGTGATGAGAATTGATCGGCTGTCTCCTGCACGGCCCCCCACTGAGGACTGAGCTCACAATCCGGGCATGTGCCCTGACGGGGTTCCAGAATTGGACGGGGACCTGCTGATTCATAGTTCAACACTCGGCCACTGCGCCCTTTGGATCTAGGGGTCATCCTGGCTGCTGACCTGGGGTGGTTTATCCCACCCTGGTTTACCCATTAGGCCTCACCTCGGCCCTCCCCACCCTGTGTCTCCACAGCAGAGCCCAGCTTCCCTGGCTGCTGAGGAGATGCAGGTGGTCCTGGGGCAGAGAAGCCTGACTGGCTGCTGCGCCTGCCCTCTAGTGGTCACCTGGGAGAGTTGCTCATTTCAACTTCTGTCCATCTATACCCGACCCTCCAGTCTCCACTACCACCCTGTGCGCTCCCAACCTAACGCAGGGGGCCTGGGCAGGACATCCCCAGCTGTGCTCATCCTCACCCTCACCCCCTGCCACCCCAAGTTACTCCTGCACCCCTACTCCCAGGTCCTCTTGGCCTCGGAAACTGAGGCCAGTACTGCTCCCTCCCACACCAGGAGTCCTTGTCCTAACCCAGTGGTCGGCAAACTCCTTAGTCCATAGAGCCACATATCAACAGTACAACGATTGACATTTCTTTTGAGAGCCAAATTTTTAAAACTTAAACTTCTTCTAAAGCCACTTCTTCAAATAGACTCTCCCAGGCTGCGGTATTTTGTGGAAGAGCCACACTCACGGGGCCAAAGAGCCGCATGTGGCTCACGACCGCAGTTTGCAGACCACAGTCCTAACCTCATCGGAGCTACAGAGACAGCCATGTGCTGGCATGGTTGTGGGGCCGGAGAAGCCCTGCCTCCCTCCCTGGGAGCCTGTGTTGGTGCCCCGGAGCCCCGCCCCCTGCCAGGAGAGGAGGATGGGGGCAGGTGGATTGGTTACAAAATCAAGAACAGTGTGTCCTGAATCATTACCTGGGTTACAAGGTCATTCTCTGCCTCCGCCTCCCCCCTGCCCAGGCCAAGGATCCGAGCCCAGCAGGTGAATCCTGCCCAGGCAAGCTTTGTTCGCAGTGCCTGCTGGGTCTAAAAAAGTCCAGTGCTGCCAGTCTGCAGTGACGGTGAGACTCCAAGGCTCATGGAGGATGTGCCTAAACTCTCACCCACTCTGCTCCACCTGCCCTCGTCCCTGGAGAACTGAGGAATAAGGATGCTTTCCCAAAGAAGAAGTAGGAGGTGCGTGCAGGTTAACACCCTTTTGAATGTGGTGACCAAGCCCATAGGGGCCAGAACGGTACCTGGGGGTCCCTGGACCAGCCATGCCCTGCTCACCACTGCAACACCAGCCGACACTATGGCATCAAGGCCCGGGAGGAGGGTCGTTCCTGCCCTCAGCTCCGGAGGTGGATCTGAGAGGAACAAAGAGCGGGCACTGCCCTTCAGTCCACAGGAAGGCTGCCCCATGACCTGGCCCCCACGGAGAGCCCGCAGGCCTGCTCTGCCCAGTCCCGGCACCACCCGTGCACCATTGGCACCCCTAGGCTCGGTCCTGTGCCCACTGGGGCCCACCCACAGTGGGTCACCGGGACCTTGGAGGCAGTTCCAGCTGCAGGCCAGGCTTGGCTCAGTAGTTGCCATGGAACCCTGGTATTTTTACAGGCAAAAGCCAAACAGCCAGAGTCCACCTGGCCGGGCCGATACTGCCCCTAAGGGCATGGGGCACCTTGGGGGAGGGGTGCCTGGAGGCCCTGCTGCCCAGTCTAGGGAGGGCAGCCCTAGCAATCTGAGAGGGGCACCCCAGCTCACCTGGAGCTCCTGCTCCCTTCCCTCGAGCCTTCTGAGAGGGACAGATGGGTTCCGGGCGGGCAGAGCCAGAGGACTTCCCCTCAGTGTCCCACTGGTTCCTCTGGATAAAGCCACCCAGTCCAGGAGTCCACAGCCTATCCCCTCCAAGCAGCATCCTCCTGGGGCCAAATGACTCTAGCAAGAGGGTCAAAGGCAGCAGCCACCAGATCTACCCCAAACCAGGGGCCAGGCAAGCCAAGTGCATCCAGTGCATGGGGCCCCTGGCTCACCCGAGGGGACCCCAGCGGGGCTGGAACCCCCGCCGCCCCCCACCACAGGCATATTAACCACACTCTCCAGTCAAAGCCTCCTCAGCTGCACTCGGACACAGAGTGATCCAGAAATGGCCATTTTTAATGCAGAAAAATCAAGATAATTTACAAATGAATCACTTGATGGGCCCAGGCTGAGGGCCCGGGGGGCTGTGAGGGCAGAAAGGAGGTGGAGACTGGCGAGTCAATGCTGTCAGCACCTTCAGACAGATCCGACCCAGGCTCCAGCTTGCCCGAGAGCCCTGGGCCCGCCTGCTCCTTGGCTCCCACTGGTCAACCCCAAGTGGGCGGCCATGGAGAGACAGATGCCTGGAAGGCAGAGGCAGGAACAAGGCTGCGGGCCCCTCCGGCCGAGCCATGGCATGAAGTAGAGCCAGGCTATGGTGGCGTTCCCTGGCCTTCCTCCCAGCAGGCTGCAGGGGGCGGCACAGAGCAGAGAGCACAGGACAAGGCCCTGGGCTAAGGTTTGGGAAGGGCTATTTGATTGGATCTGGCTCCGAGAATGATCGCGGATGAGGCAGTTGCTAGGAAGGTCTCAAACCCTTCGAGAGCCCCCTTCCCCCTTTAAGTACATCCACCTGTCAAGAGTTGGCATGGCGCTGGTTTGGGCTCCACACCTCCCACCTGGGGCCTGTGGGCGATGGCTGCAGGCTCAGGGCACTGGAGGTAGAAAGGACCTTCCCACCTTTCCCCTCCCCAAGCCGGGGGGGGGGGGGGGCGGGTCAAAGACATCTCTAAGGCAGCCCAGACTCCGGCCTGGCCCGGGGCTGAGCACGCTGGCCTCTCGGGGGTGGCTGTGGTCAGTTATGGCTGCTGCTGCAGGCACGCCCCCCCCCCTCCAGGTCTGGCCAGGTAAAGAGGACCCCCAGAGCTAGGTCCATCAGCCCCTCCAAACAATAGAATGTGGTCCCAGCAGCGCCCACGAGGGGCTGGCAGTGTCCTCCCCAGATACCCACCTGTCCCCTCTTCCCACCTCGTCCCAGGGTACAGACCGACCCAGAACAGCGCGAGTCCCAGAGAACCAGCCTGCCAGGCGGAGGGGAGGAGGGGGAGGGGGGCGCCGTCACTTTGGCATCTCCAAGGCAGACACCTGAGGCTTCACTTTGAAGTACTGGTTGAATCGGATCACTGCGTACCTGAGGAGACAGGGCAGGGAGCCGGGTGAGGAGGGGAGCGTGCTGGGGGCTCACACAGCTGCTCACCACGAAGCCCACCCGGGTCTGTGCAGGTCCACCCCAGCCCAGGCTGATTTATCTATTTTTTACTCCAACTATAATTTTACTTCTCAGCACAGACTAAGCCTACCCTCCTCCAACAAGGTCATTTTTGTCGTTTTACCGTTCAGCCATGTCACGTACATTCATGCTGCTGAGCAACAGATCTCTAGGACTTCATTTTACAGAACGGACACTCCAAACCCCTTAAGCGGCGACTCCCCGGTCCCCTCCCCAGCCCCTCGCACCACTGCTCTTCCTGTTTCTGTGAAGCGGAGTTTCATTATTTCAGACGCGGAAATCATACAGCTTCTGTTTTTGTAACTGGCTTATTTCACTTAGCACAATGCCCTGGGCCCATTCATATGGTAACACGTGGTGTGAGCTTGCTCTTTAGGGCTGCGTGCATTCCTCTGTATGAATTCACCACATTTTGTGAACCCATTCATCCATCGGTGGGCATGGGTGGCTTCTACCTCTTGGCCATTGTGAAACTTGGGCGTCAAGGTACCCCGTGGAGACCCTGATGTCACTCCTTCTACCCAGCAGTGAGCCTGCTGGGCCTTCCAGGCACTCTAAGGTGTGAGGAAGTTCAGTAATGTTCCCCGCAAGTTTCTCTACGTCCTCGCCAACACTTCCATGTTCTGTTCATCTGCTAGTGGCCATCCTGACAGTGATGGGCTCATTGTGCCTCTGACTGCCTACCTCTGATGGCAGTGAACACCGAAACCAGGGCAGTGATGCCCTTTAGGCTGAGGGCGGATGGGGAGGAGCTGGACCAGAATGAAGAACAAAGTGATTCCTGGCCCTTAGGGACCTATGCACCCACATGATGTAATCCCCCACCCACCCATGGGGTCTGTGTCCGAGTACGGTGTCGGTACAGCTTGCAGTGCGTCACTGGGGGCCGCTGAAGGAGGAGTGGGGTCTGACACCCCCCACGGTAAGCATGAAACCACCGAGGGGCCTCAGCAAGTCACTTCTGCTCTGGACCGCTGACCCTGCTGCTATGGAGTAACGGCTGGGCTCACGACCTCTCAGACTGGTTTGTCACCGTCCCATCCCCACCAGGCCCCGTGGCTAGGGCCCTGGAGTTGCAGGAGGAGTCAGGGAAAGTGTCATCGCCCGCCAGGCAGGCAGGGCAGGTGCATAAACTCCAGGCTCCTCCGAGCTGCTCCGGCTCCTGACCTCCCCTGGAGCACTGACCCCCGGGCCCTGGCCGGCTGGTGGGGACACGTTAGCAGGTGAGTGGACTCTGGACGTTCCATTTGGGCTGTCCTTTGCCCCCACACCCTCAGCTTCCTTCCCCCCTCCGCCTGCTCCCCGCCCCGAGTCAACCGGTACTCACCTGAGGAAATCGAAGTCGATGGTGGAGAACTGGTTCTGGATGAGGGCCCAGAGCGCCCAGAAAAAGTGAGAAGCCTGCAAACGGAGCAGAGGGTGGCACGGTGTCCTGCCAAGCCTGGCCCTGGCCCCGTGTGCGCGAGGGATGCAGTCTCTCCGGCAAACACAGAACCAGGACTCTGGCGGGGACACGGAGGGGTCTCCCCAGCACAGGCGGTGAGGTCACCGGGTAGCATCTGGGGGCTCCACTCCCTCTAACAGAGTCGGTTCTCCCCGAATCCCACACCCCCCAGGGGTGTCAGCGAGATGGTGCTCCCGGCCCACACCGCTTCCCCCTGGCTTCTGCCCCTGGGCAGCTCCTCCTCAAGTCTCCAAGGCCAGCAGATCCAGGCGAGATGAGCCTCTGAGCGAACCCAGGGCACTGGCCAGTGGAAGGGGGGTAGGTAGTGCCCCTCAGCAGTGCTCTGGCCACATGGCCATCAAGGCCTGGCCTGCTAGATGGCCCCTTAAAGCGACTTCCCCCTACCTTTTGTCAGGAGGTGGTCGGGTTGGGAAATGAGCGTAGATGTGGGAATAAGAAGCCAGAATCCGGGCACTACGCTTTCAGCTGTTTCCCCCAGAGCCAGAGGCGCCCAGGGGCCCAGGTCACCCCAGGTTCAAGAAGCCAGAGAGCCAAGCATCCAGCTGCCCCCCAACAAACAGGGGTGACACACGTATTTTCCCTGCTGGGGTCCTGCACCCCGGCCCAAGTCCTGCTTGCTCTGGGGTTGACTACCTGGTACCTCCCGCCCCTTTCTGCCTTTTTCAGGACTTAAAGGGGACGTGTAGGCCCATTAGCACGTATGAAAGATTACTAAAAACTTTAGCGAGAGAAAGAAGTGGAGTGAAACGAGTCAGGAGGAAGAGCCCGAGGGAGAACCAGCTTTGTGCGGGCGAGGACGGAAAGGGCAGCTGAACTCCCAGGTAAGCAACGATTTGACTTCAGCTCCTGGGCGGATTGTGAAACTCGGGGCAGCTGACTTACTCTTGTTTACGCATGGCTGACATGAGTAAGGCTCGTTAGCATGCTCCTGGGCACACACCAGTGGAGACCTGGCACGAACCACAGACGCTGAGTAAGGAAGGGGCACACGGGATCAAGAACGGACAGCACGGTAACCGGAGCAGAAAGAGCCCGATGGGAAAGGCTGACCGAGTTCTGAGTCAGCAGAGGACCCTAACCAGGACTATTAGAGCGAGCATTCTCCGTCTCCTCCGAAGGCTCTGATAAAGAAGGGGCGTGCTTAGCATGAAAGACCAAGGTTAGACACTAGGAAGAACGACTGGTCCCAGTGAGAACTGCTAACAGAGGAAGCGGAGCTCTTTCCTGGAAGTAGTTTCCCAGGAAAGGGGGAACCTAGACTTGAGGGGGAGGGGGAAACAGGGAGCAGGGCACCTTCGTATGATGGGGGTGCCCAAGATGGCTCTCCCTAGGTCTCACCTCTAGGGTGGGGTTCCCGGGCTCTGTCTGCTTCCTCCTCCACCATAGGATGCCAGAGGCAGGAGCTGGGGGTGGGTCCCTCGTCCCACCTCCTGGCTCTGCCCTGCCCTGCTCCTGCCGGCCACGAAGCCACACGCACTCACCAGGGCAAACTTGTTGACCTGCACGTAGAGCCGCTGCACCTCGCTGGCGGTCACGGCCATCCCCTTCTGGGCCTGCAGGTAGTAGCGCAGCCACTGCAGCTGGGTCTCCCTCGCAGGGTAGAGGCAGTAATCGACTTCATTCACACCTGGTGGGAGGCGGCACCTCAGATTTGTCTGCGAGATGGCCCATTGGGGCCTCCTCCAGCCCAGGTGCCCCTGCTTCGCGGGGCGGGGCCTAGCAAGGCAGCCTGCTGTCAGCTGCAATGTGTAGAATAGGGGTGTCGAACTCAATCAGAGAAGGGGCCAAAATCTAAAATCCAGCCTAAATCGCGGGCCGAATGGTTTACTGAACAGTCATAAACTGTCATTGTGATGGAAACGCAGCGGAGTGCAGTGATGACAGCGCGGTGCGGGCCACACTGCAAGGCCTGGCGGGACGGATTTGGCCCGCGGGCCTTGTGTTTGACACATGTGGTGTAGAAGGTCGAGTCCTACCCCAGCTGGGGTGCTGAGAGGAGCAGATTGGCTGAGGAGCAAGGGCTAGTCCTGGGAGTGATGGGGACCCCTTGAGCACCGCTGTCTCCCCCATTCCCTACATAACATGATGCCATATAGAGATATGGGGCACAGCACTGAGTCAGGGCTCGGTTGTCCTAGGTGCGATGCTGACCTCCAGTTAACCTCGGACCAGCCCTTTCCTCTCATGGGCCCAAATCTCTCCATTGCAAACGAAGGCTCCGGGTGACGCAGACGCTGCTTCCTGAGGGCTGGCTGCTTAGACATCACCTGGAGTGATCACAGCAGCCTCCAAGGCCCCTGCCCCCACCCACTTCTCCAGACTGGGGAACAGCCAGGACTCAGTGGCCTCCATCCCTCTGGTCCGCGGAGTCCTCAAGCTGCCAGCCCAGCACCTGGGCACATCCTGGGCCCAGTGGCAGAGGCCTGGGTTTTAGACAGAACTAGGCCTGTAACACCTTCCCCAGCCTCGTCCTCCCTCTCCTCTCCTTTCCAAGCTTCCCTGAGGTTTCTGGAGAAACACACTCAGTCGCCCAGGGCCCCAAGAGTAGGGCTAGAAAGAACCTCCTTGTGCAGATGTAGAAACTGAGGCCCAGAGAGAAGACCCTTTGCTCAAGGTCAGGCAGCCGGTTAGAGGTGGTTCAGGATGGGAACTCGGATTTTCAGCTCCCAGAACAGACAGACCCCTTGTTCCCACGAAGCCTGGAGGGCCCTCTCCCCAGCTCCCAATCTCATCCCTGACCCTCCTCCCTCCCCCCTGCTCAGTCCTCCTCCTTCATGCTTAGGAGCAGGATGCAATCTGCCCCTTTGGAGAAATTCCAGCTGGACTTCGCTCTGTGTGTTGGGTGAGAAGGGCTTAACACGCTTTAGAATGATCCCTTCTGGAAAGGTCAGTGGCCTGGCAGCTGAGCATGCAGAGGCCCCGTGCCCTGCGGATGCCAGCCTCAGCTAGTGCCAACCCCCACAGTTCAGCTGCTCGGCCCAGCTGAGCCTCTGGTTCCCGAGAGTCTTACCCTCAGGTATAATTAGTACTTGTCAGACCTGTGGTAGGCAAACTCATTAGTCCACAGAGCCAAATATCCACAGTACAACGATTGAAATTTCTTTGGAGAGCCACATTTTTTCAACTTAAACTTCTTCTAACGCCACTTCTGCAAAATAGACTCGCCCAGGCCGTGGTATTTTGTGGAAAAGCCACACTCAAGGGGCCAAAGAGCTGCATGTGGCTCAAGAGCCACAGTTTGCCGACCACGGTGATAGACCAACAGACCTGGTCGGCTGGGGTTCCAGAGGGTCATGATTGGCCTCGATTGGGCTGCAGAGTGGCTGAGGCTGGGCCAGGTGAGGCTATCCTAAGCCTCAGGGGCTGCTGAGCGCCTCACCCTGCCATCCTGGGGTGCCCCTCCAGCCCCAGTGCCAGTGGCTAGCTTTTCGCCCCACAGAATTATTTTTAACAGGCTCTCAAGCTGGGAACAACCGCCCTGCTCCCTTATACACTGATTCTATGTACAGGCTGCCTGCTCCTAGGATAAGGTGACCAGACGTCCCGATTTTTAACAATTTGTCCCGCGGCGTTTTAAAAAAGTCCCGATTCTTAGAAAGTGTTTTAAAAATGCCTTGAGATGCAGGACAAATTGTTAAAAATTGAAACTGTCCCGCCAAAAGCGGGACGTCTGGTCACCTTATCCTAGGAACCATTTCCGGATCCACCATCCAGCCCTGCTCCAGTCTCCGGGCTGCAGAAGGCTTCCCGCCCTGTATCAGCAGACAGGGCTAGTACCTGCTTAGTATGTGTCGAGCTTGTGTGTCTCATGTCGATACTACGACGCCGTTTCTAGTATTTTATCTCCGGTTTACAGAGGCACAGAGGAGGCCAGGGTCAGGCAGCAAGCACCAGAGCCAGGATTCCAAGTGGAGGAGCCACGCTGCCGAGCACAGACTTTAACCGGCTGCAAGGAGGGTCTTCCCATCATGCTCCCAGGCAAGCAGCTGCTCCCAGCTGGCTCTGCTCCCCACCTGCCTGCTGGGCCCTCATCCACAACCTCACCTGCAGGTTGCACTGGGCAGAAAGGAGCGTGGGCAGGGGGTGAGGAGAGGCTGAGGTTGTCCTGTGCCGGCCCCGCTGGCAAAAGATCATGTACCCAGAGGGAGGGGTCTTTTTTGAAGTCACATGCCAAGTCAGGGATCCTCAGGGATCCTTTGCAGTACTGACATGAGACACACACGTGGGCATGTCTTCCTACTTTGTACCAAGCTGCCAGACTGGCCAGCAGGTGCGCTCTGGGCAGGGGGGCCCTGCCTCCCCCAGGAGACTGGGAGCTCTCCAAGCCAGCCTGTGTCTCCCCATCCACTTCCCGGCCCCGAGCTGGGATATTTCGGGGAACGGGAGCTGTCTAGGCTCCACCCCCCAAGTACGGGACCCCTCTCACCTCTCCCTGACCTGGCCATCCATCAATCAGAGGGAATGCTGGACAAAGGCCAGAGAGCAACGCCCTTCTCACCTGCAAACTCGTTGAAATGGTTGCCAATGTCAAAAGCTTGGTAGTTGTAGCCGGCGTATTCGTAGTCGATGAACCGTACGTGACCTGCGAGGCAGAGAAGCACTGAGGTTGGCCCTGGAGACCCGGACAGGCCCGGTCAGGCTGCCGCAGACGTGCGGAGTTCACTAACTCCCGTGCGGGCCTGGCAGCCAGATGGCCTCGCCCAACCTCTTCAGCAGCATTCTTCAGCTGCTTCCTTCTGCCTGTCCCTCTGTCCACCTGTCCCCTCCTCCCACTCCAGCTGGCCCTCACAGAGCAAGCCCCTGGGGCTCTCCCCAGGTAAAGACATCTGTCCTCAGCACGGTCAAGGGCCTGACTTATAAATCAAGGGGTTCCCGCCCTCGCCGGTTTGGCTCAGTGGTTAGAGCGTTGGCCTGCAGACTGAGGGTCCCAGGTTCGATTCTGGTCAAGGGCACATGCCTGGTTTGCTGGCTCGGTCTCCAGTGGGGGGCATGCAGGAGGCAGCCGATTAATGATTCTCTCTCATCATTGCTGTTTCTACCTCTCTCGCCCTGTCCCTTTCTCTGAAATAAAAAAATATATTAAAAAATAATAAAGCAGCCATGGCCGGTTTGGCTCAATGGATAGAGTGGCGGCCTGCGGACTGAAGGGTCCTGGGTTCGATCCTGGGCAAGGTCTTGTGCCCCAGTAGGGGTGTGCAGGAGGCAGTTGATTGATGTTTCTAACTCTCTATGTCTCTCCCTTCCTCTCTGTAAAAAATCAATAAAATATATATCTAAAATACCGTATTTTTCGGACCATAAGACGCACTTTTTCCCCCCCAGAAGTGGGGGGGAAAAGTCCCTGCGTCTTATGGTCCAAATATAGCCTACACATATACTTTAAAAAAAAGTTTTTTTACTTGCCCGGCTCTGTGTGGTCTCTGTGTGCTTGCCCGGCTCTAAAATGGTTCTAAATGCTGCTGTTTACTTTACAGGGTTGATTACATGTGTTTATGACTGTGATGTTGGGTTTTAATGCACATAAAATATTTTAGGACACTATTTGTTTCAGAATCTTTTTTTCTTCATTTCCCTTCTCTAAAAGCTGGTGCGTCTTATGGTCCGGAGCGTCTTATGGTCCGAAAAATGTGGTAATAATAATAATAATAATAATAATAATAAATAAAGCAAAGGGTTTCTGGGGGAAGCTCAGGACAGGCCACAGGAAGGCTTGAAACAGCCGAGAAGGCATAGGAAGCCCAAAGCATTGTGGGGGGGATCGCTCGGGCGCCCTAACATTAAAGACCCCCACAAGCCCTGCCGGTGAGCCCTTTCGGGGCGCAGACTTTTCTAAGTGGGAGTTTGTTTCCTTTTCCATTTCTCTCCGACAAACGGACTGACGATCTCAGTGGAAAGGTCTCCTTGTGCTTGCCCCTGGACCAGCCTCGGGAGCAGAGCCCCGCAGGCTGCCCGGCCCACAAAGCCGTACCTTTGGTGCTGTCGTAGATGATGTTCTTGCAGAGCAGGTCGTTGTGACAAAACACCACAGGGGAGCCCAGCTGGGACAGGTGCTCCTTCAGCCAGGCCAGCTCCCGCTCCAGCACCTCCAGCGTGGGGACGTCTGCGGAGAGGCTGGGCGGGCGAGAGAGGTGGGCCAGCTGAGGGCAGGAACAAAGCCCCCTCTGCCCCTCTGCCCCCCCCCCCCAGCCCCCAGCACACACAGGCCCTGCTGCTGAGGAGTGAATGAATGGGGTCCTGCAGAGGCCTGGGAAGCTGACGAGGAGCCACTGTGCACAGAAGCTCTGAACCGTGGTCCCCGGACGCGCAGGTTCCGTGCACCCTAACAAGCCAAGGAGTCAGCACGGCCCTGAGACCCCCAGAACCACGGATGGGAGAGGCGGGGGGACAGGCGTCTTGCTTCCACACATCTATCTCCTGTTTGCTCTCTCCTCCAGGGCAGGAAGAGGATGGGCAGGGGCGGGAGAAGGAGAGAGGTCCCCCTGGTGCTCCCCCGGGTGCCCCCACCCCCAGCCCCAGCCCAGAAACTGGAATGTGCGGAAGAGTTCTCAGCCCCTAAGGCGTCCCCATGTCCCCCCGGGAATGGGTGAGTGGCAGACTGCCTCACCCTTTGAGAAGGTCAAAGCTAAAGAGGATCCTCGGTCTCCAGACCAACCCAGTGTGGAAACTGAGGCTCAAGGAAGGGCAGTCTTCCTTCCAGCCTCAGGTGTCTCCTGTACAGCTAGACCCTCTACATCAGTGGTTCTCCACCTTCCTCAAGCCTCGACCCTTTAATACAGTTTCCTCATGTTGTGGTGACCCCAACTATAACATTATTTTTGTTGCTACTTCATAACTGTCATTTTGCTACTGTTATGAATTGTAAATATCTGTGTTTTCTGATGGTGTTAGGTGACCCCGCGAGCGGTTCTTAACCAGTTGAGAACCACTGCTGTACATCCTCCCTAAGGAGCTCGGCCCTCAGCCTGTCTAAGGATGGGAGTGAGGTCAGGCCCACTAACCACGAGGGCCCGGTGCCCCGAGGCTCTGTGCAGGCCCTCGGAGCGCAGGCACCTGTGAGGGGCTGCCAGAGAGGCCCCCTCCCTCGCACACTCACTGGAATTTGGCTGCAGAGCCTGCATTTCCCTCTTGGCTCTCCCTAAGAAGCTACCTTTTTTTTTTTTTTTTTAAGATTCTCCTTTTTCTTAGACAGAGACCATCCAAAGATAAAACTTAGGAGGCCTCCTTCAGTTTGCCGAGGTCTCGGCTTGAAAAACATGGCTTTGACATCCAAGATGCCTGCTGCCTAGGCCCTGACCTCTGTCTGACCCCCACGCTACCCACCCCAAGGCCACTGAGATGGTTACCGTGGGAACGATCCTGGCCTCCTTCCCTCCCCCGAACACCTGGACTCAAGCCAGTGCAGCTTCCCTCAGGCCTGACACCACCTTCCTCCCCGGGGCTGAGGGCTTGAGTCTCATCTCGGAGACTTTCACATCCCTCTCTGAACCTGTCCCTCCGAGGACGCAGGCGCAGGTGACAGGGCCTGGGGTTCTTCCTGAGGAAGGGACTGATGCCTGGCCAGTATCCACTCAGCTCTCAGGATCGGAGCAGGGAAGGCCGGACTTTCCAAGGGCTCGGCTTGCATTATCTTTGCCCTCACACCACTCGGCCTACCTGAGTCTCCTTGTGTAGCCCCAAAGCTGTTATCAACCCCGCATCCTCCTGGCCACCCTGGACACGGCCGTGCCGACCCAGATGCCTAGGCAACCCTATTTCCACGGGGTCTCTGCCTCGGCTCACTCCACCCCTGAGGCTGCGGGGGGCAGTGCTCCCCCAAAGTGGACCCTGCTCCCCTGCCTCAGCATCACCAGGAGCCTCATGTGAGACCTCCCACCACTATCTGGGGTCAGAACCTGCACGGAGCAAGCACCCAAGGGAATCACATGCTCAACCCTGGGAACCCCAGGGTTAGACAGGAGGAGAGCATGGACGATGGGCCAGGCACAGAAACGCACCAGGGCTGAAAGCCCCAGAGGCCCAGCAAGGGGGAGAGCTGGGGAAACAAGAACCTAGCGCCCAGGGTAATCTATCCTCCCCCGGCATATCACTGGTCGTGACCTTTTCCTCCCTGGAGATAACATCCAGGCCTCCATTGCATTTCAGCTCCAGGCCCAGAAAAGCAGCAAAACCAGACAAGTGCCACGTAGCTGCCTCAGGACCAGCTGCACTGACTAATGACCCTGCCCTGGCTCCAGCCAATCGGTGGAGACCATGACCTAAAAAAGCACACCCAGAAAGCGGGTGAATGTTCTATCAGACTCTCCCTGAGACCTCCCCTACTATTTCCACCTGAGGGAAAGAGAGAGAGACTCTCAGGATGAGAGAGAAATACTCTCAGGACGAGGGACCCAGTGTGCGCTCTCCCTCCAAGGAGCACACCCTGCCATTCCCTCCCCCCTCTTCCCTATAAGGACTCAACCAGGGGAGCAACAGGCAGCGGCAGCTCGTCCCAGGCTAACCCCCTGAACCTGTCTCCAAGGCAGGTTCCTGGGCCAGCAGCCCAGCCTAGGCTCTCCTGCTGCTGCTTCTAGGCCCTTCCTTGTTTCCCTGTCCTAAGTGTATTTCTGCTGTCACCTATGGACCCAATACTTTTTGGCTCAGTGCTGGATAGCCCCTCCCTTTGGATAGCCCCATCTCCATCCCCTTTTCCTTAAATAAATTAAAATTTTCTTTATTCACCGTCTGAGATGGCTATTTAGCCTGCCCTCCCATCAGCGACTTTCACCTTTCACCTAATTCTAAAGGCTGCCCATTTAACTCTCCTCCAGCTGGTCTCCCTACCCTGCATCCCTGCTTCCCTGACTCCCACCTGCACCACTGACCCGAGTCCCCAGCTCAAACACCTTCACAATTACTTCCCACCCCAGCCAAATGGAATCTTCCTTCCTCAACTTGACCTTGAAGGCCCCCTCACACTTTGGCTCCAGCTCAAAGGACCCTTACAGCGCGCGCGCTCCCTCCCTCCCTCTCTCCCTCCCTCCCTCTCTCTCTCTCTCTCATTCCTCTCTCTCTCTCTCTCTCTCTCTCTCTCTATCTCTCTCTCTCTCTCTATCTCTATCTCTATCTCTATCTCTATCTCTATCTCTATCTCTATCTCTCATTCTCCAGACTCCTCCCAACCCTTCCTGAAGATCTGCTCCGGCCAACTGGTCTACCCCACCTCCACCAGCAAGCTGCGCTCAGGCCACCTCCTCCAACCAGAGTGCCTCCCTTCCCATCTCTGCCGAGAAGATCTTCCCTGGTTCTCCCCCGCCTGGCACACACTGCACACCCTGCCTCCTCCTATGGCTCTGCAGGGGCAGGTCCTCTTGACCCAGAGGGCTCCTAAGCTTCTGTAGGCAGCGCCAATGCCACCTTGGTATTTTTTGTTTGCTTTAAATCCCAATCAATCTGTGCTTGTAAAATGAAGGATGGACTACATCAGATTTATCAGGAAAATTATTAGAGAGGGTTATTACAGCCAAGACCGGTTTGGTTCAGTGGATAGAGAGTCTGCCTGCGGACTGAAGGGTCCCGGGTTCGATTCCGGTCAGGGGCAAGTACATGGTTGCGGGCACATCCCCGGTGGAGGGTGTGCAGGAGGCAGCTGGTCGATGATTCTCCCTCATCGACATTTCTAGCTCTCTATCTCTCTCCCTTCCTCTTTGTAAAAACTCAATAAAATATATTTTAAATACATATATATATATATATATATATATATATATATATAGAGAGAGAGAGAGAGAGAGAGAGAGAGAGAGAGAGAGAGAGAGGGTTATTACAGAACTCAGGTGCTTCATCTTGTCTGAGTGGCTGCTCATCACAGCCTGCTCTGGGGTATTGTGGGCAAGACAGGGCAGGCATCACCCCCTAACGAGGCTCGAGAAATTTAAGCCAGCTGATTTGCCCAAGGTCAAAACTGTGGCAAGAACAAAGGGAGTTGGTCGGCTCTTCTCCAGAGAAGACTCTCCTCCCGACAAGGTCACACCCCTCCCCCAAAGGATACACAGTGGCCGCAGATTCAAAGGAAGCTGCAGTAGCCAGGGTTATGCCTGAGCATCGGCCTGGACGCCAGTCCTTGAGTTGCCACTGATAAGTAATGACCTTGGGCGAGTTCTATCCTCATCCAGGGTCTCAGTTTCTTAATCTGTCAGGTGGACGTGGTGGGCTGGGAGCTCTCCGGTCCTGTCGGCTGAGATGGCAGGGGTCCCACTTCTCTGCGTGCTGTTCTAGTCCTAGGAGGCAAGGCAGTTCTGGCCCCGGAGATAACACTTAACACAGAAGGTCTGAGCATGCGCCATGCTGGACAAATAGTCCCAGCGCAGTGTTTGATCCTCCCTGAGTGGGAGGATCCAGATAAAGCCTCCTGTGTGTGAGTGGGACAGAGATACGCGATCGGGAGAGATTCCATTGTCTCATCATCTTCAAGGAGGGGAGGGGGTACCCTGCGCTCAGACCTGGGTCCCCCATCTCATGAACACCTGGAAAAAAGGGCGTTCAAGCTTTTTTTGGGGAAGGGGCAGGATGACACCCCTCTTTCTCCCTTGCCCCCATTGTTGACTCAGGTAAGTGGGTGAGTCAGGTATCTGAGGCTAGAAGGACTCTCAGGTGGCTGATCTGGGAGTCCTGTCTTATCTGGGGAAAGATGCTGTTACAGTGATGAAAAGAGCAGAGAGGAAACAGCAAGCTGTCAGTCGGAATAAGGTGGAAAGTGAGGTTGCCAGGCAGGGGTGGGGCTGGGGCACCGAGGGGATGAGAGGCATCCGGACAAGCAGCAGGAGTCTTGATGTCCCAAGACCTTCTCAGCTGATGAGCTCACTTCTGACTGGCTGGAGGGGCTGACTTCTGACTGGCTGGAGGGGCCGGCTTCTGACTGGCTGGAGGGGCCGGCTTCTGACTGGCTGGAGGGGCTGGCTTCTGACTGGCTGCAACAGCCTCACCGCTCTCCCTGAGGCTGGCTTCCCTCCTGGGCTATCTATAATAGAAGGCAGCTCAAGTAGCCCTGACACTGGGCAAAACTGAGCTCTGAGCCTAAAGGCCCTTTAAGTAAAATGGAAGACACTGTCTCTGACCCCAGGCCCTGCCACACCCAGCAGGCTCCAGAAGGAATAAGCAGCCCTGGCCGGTGTTGCTCAGTGCTTACAGGACTATCTCGTGCATTGAAGGGTCTTAGGTTCGACCCTTGGTCAGGCTGCATGCAGGAGGCAGCCGATAGATGTTTCTCTCTCCCCCATACCTCCTCTCTCTGTAGAATCAATGAAAGAAACAACACATCCTCGGGTGAGGATCAAAAAAAGAAGAAAGAAGCACAAGCATGGTCTAAAACTGTGGATTGAAGGTCCTCAGGTTTCTCAATTGGCCCCACTCTCCTTGGCAACAGAGGCTCAGCGATCGGGACTGAAACCACGAACCCTCCTGCGGGGTGGGGTGGAGCAAAGGAACGGGGAGCAGGATCACATGAAGGCGGAGGAGACGGTGGCAGCCTCGAACCCTCCCCGATCTCTGTACCTGGGGTTGACCTCGTTCTTCACAAGGGTGAAATAGGTGTGCATCTTGTGCCAGAGGGTGGGCTTGGGCAGGCTGCCGTTGGTGTGGATGGTGTGGATCTTTGCCATTTCCAAGGCGATTAGCCTACAGCAGAAAACAAAAAACACACAGGAAGGGTAGACTATCAGCCCCTCCTGACCGGAAAGAGGCCCTACAGTGTCCAGGAGGGGGCTGGCCAGAGGGCAGAGTCTGCTGGGGCTATTACATATCTTTCCAGAGCTCTCTCTACACCTCAGCGGAGGCATGGAAAGGAGATTGGCCTTTGGCCTAGCAGGTCCTTTTCCAGAACTAGAGCTGGCCTAGCAGAAGGGCAAAGCAGTGGGCTGTTGGCTACTTGGCCAGTGACCCTGCCCCACCCCAAGGTCACGTACCCACAGCAGGCCCTGAGGGCAGAAGGGTCCCTGGGGATGGGGGCAGTGTCCCCCCCCCCCCCCCCCGGACTCTGACCCTCAGGGGGAAGTGAACGCAGGGCACCAAGGGATTGGGGGGGAGGGCGGTCATGCCAGGCGGGGAGGAAGGCCCGCCTCTTATCAGCCTGGCCAAGGTGGGGAGGGACGCAGGCGGGCCCCGGGCAGCCCCTCTCTGGGGCAGGGAGTTGATGCTGGCGGCTGGGTGCCAAGGACGCAAAACAAACCAGCGTTCTATTTTCAAGTTCTCCCGTGGACATTATCCAAGGTCCCCGGAGGGAAGGAGGGGCGGTGGGGAGCGGAGAAGGCAGCTCCGGGGAAGGCGGCTGCCCCAGGGCGGAGGTGGGTGGAGGGCTGACGGTCAGAGGGGGGTGGGGGGGCTTGATAAGGACCCATCAGCGCCTGAGACCTGGGTCCCGGCTGGGCTCCCCTAGGCCTGGGCCAGCTCCCCCTCTGCAGCCCCACCCCCCGCCCGCTGTCAAGCCTCCAACATCCGAGCTTCCTCTACCTCTGCCTGTTGCTCCAACAATAATCTGGGAAAGACAACAAAGGCACTGACTGTTGGAAACCTTGTTGCTGAGCTGTCCAGGGACACCCACGCCCGCCCCTTTAAGGGTCCTGGGAAGGGGCAGGGCCATTTCCCAGCAGGACAACGGGCCACTCTGGGGCTCTGGAAGCCCCCAAGGCTCCCACCTCCTACAGGGCGGGGGCGTGGCAGCAGCTGAGTGGGTGAGAGACGAAGGCTGGAGGCCTGGGAAGAGGAGGGAGCCCAGGGCATGGCCTGGGCGAGGCGAGAAACAGACCTGAGACCCAGGCCTCCCCCCCAGAGGAGGATTCCGAATGGAACATGAGCTGAGCGTTTCCTTGAATATCAATAGGGATGCTGCCTGGAATAGCAATGGGAGTGAACCTCAGCGCGCAGCATCTTGATGCTGCAAAGCCTCAGCAGGCCCAGGCTGGGAGGTGGGACTCAAGGCCACGAGGTGAAGTGGCCCCCAACGTTCTCCCCCTCCCCACCCCCGCCTTCCCTCCTGGACCCGCCTTTATCCCAGGGAGAGAATGATCTGTCCTGGGAAAAGGATTCAGGAAGGGCTACCTCCCACACTTCGCTCAATTTTTGGCTTTTCCCCCCTAATGAATGTCAAGTTCTTATTATTGGACCCTAATCCACCCTCCTCTTCCTGACAATGGTAATCATTTCCATGAGAGGGGGAGTGACGGTGTCAGACGCACAGGGGCGGTGAGACCCGGAGTGGCAAGGACCTGCCAGTATTGGAGCTGGGAGGAGCGGGTGGGATAGCAGGACAGGGCTCCACACCCTCTGCCCTGCCCAGACCTCCCTCTCCGGCCTGGGTGCATGTACCGCTGCTCAGCGGGGAGCCTGAGATGTCCCTTAAGTGGGCTGGCACATCCCCCAAACCCAGACACAAACACACAGCGGCAAATCACAACTCCGGGGGATCTGCTGGGGCCTCAGCAGCCAGGAGCCCTGGAGTGGAGGGTGAGGCTCTTAGATTCCCTCCTTCCAAGTCCTTCAAAGGCCTGACAGGGGTTCCCTGCAAACAGGGCCAGGGACACTACCTTGGGGTTAACTGCAGCAGGCGAGGGAGCAAAGGAGCTGTTTGGCCTACTCCCCAGGGGGGCTTTGCTGTTGCCCCTCGGAATCCGGAACAGGGTGGGACAGGACAGAGCCCATGGGTCCTGGGCAGGCCCCTGTGCCACTCTCCCCAGCGTCACCTGGGCACTCACTCTGGTCTGAGTGCCCTGCACATGGCCGCAGCACTGGAGGGAGGACGGTGGATCCTGCCCCGCACAGAGGAGACTGCACCAGGCCCCACAGCCCTAGGGCCCGAGGGTCCTCTAGATGTAGGCATTTCCCAGGACTGGCTCCCTGGGGCCTGTGGGGTTCTGTGAGGCTCTGGAAGCTCAGCAGCTCCCCGAACCCGGGTTCCCACTTTGTCAGGACATCTGAAAGGAGCTCACAGTGTGGGAGGGATGGCGTCTCTCTGGGCTACGAACCCCTGCTCCCCCCAATACTGAGCTCATGGCAGGAGGGGAGGGGCTCAACTCCCTGAGGGGCTGGGATTTGGCTCGGATTTCATTTCCAAGGCTGAGACACGTCCATGGACCAGGACGAGGATCCCAGGCGCTTGGTTTGGTCCCACGTTCACCCACGTTCTCCAGCGCCTCCCCTGAGAACTCCTAGCAGACCCCACTGCAAACCTACACAAAGCGATCGCCCCTCTTTGCACAGCAATGCACACACACACACACACACACACCCCTTTTCCATGCAATTTCAGGGAGTTCTCAGATCTTATGCCTTGTTCACGGATGCCACGCTACCCGTGGAAGCTGGCCAGGGCTTCCAAAGCCCGAGGCCTGAGAGAGCATGGAGATGGCCAGGACCCCGAGCGCCCGCCCTCCTCACCTGAAGAGCCGGGGCTCCCGGATGTGCTCAGGCCCCAGGGCCACGCCCCGCATGTACTCATAGCACAGCCCATTCTGGAAGGTGCAGTAGAGTTTGGGGGCGCAGCCGTGGGCTCGCAGCAGCTGGAAGTTCCTGACCTCGCTCTCCCGGTCCACCAGCAGCTCCGTCCGCTCCCCGTACACCCGGACCAGCACGCAGTCCCGCATGTCCTCCTCCACGTAGCAGGCCACCAGCTTGTTGGTGATGCCGTCGGTGAAGCGCTGGCACGGGGAGAGGGCAGCACGGGGTGCCTGGGGCAGGGCGTCTCCTCTTGCCCCACGGCCGCCCAGCGTGCCCGACCACACAGAACCCCGTCCTTCAAACTCCTTTACCACAGAGCTCAGCACCCCCCAACGCCTGGGATGGGTTAGAGCAGTGGCAAATCACAACTCTGGGGGATCTGCTGGGGCCTCAGCAGCCAGGAGCCCTGGAGTGGAGGGTGAGGCTCTTAGATTCCCTCCTTCCAAGTCCTTCAAAGGCCTGACAGGGGTTCCCTGCAAACAGGGCCAGACACTACCTTGGGGTTAACTGCAGCAGGCGAGGGAGCAAAGGAGCTGTTTGGCCTACTCCCCAGGGGGGCTTTGCTGTTGCCCCTCGGAATCCGGAACAGGATTCCCGATGCCGCGGCCCTTTAATACGTTTCCTCCTGCGGCGGTGACCCCCAACCATACATTTATTCTCATTGCGACTTCATAACTGTCATGTTGCTACAGTTAATGAATCGTAATGGAAACATCTGTGTTTTCCGATGGTCTTAGGCTCTACAGCAGCGGTTCTCAACCTGTGGGTCGCAGCCATTGGAAAACACAGATATTTACCCAAAAAGTGGCAGCTCTGGCTCAGGCCAGGCACCCCGCGTCTACCTCCAGGGCTGGGTTTGTTTGTGTGGGGAGTCTGCACACCCCTTGAGGGTTAGAAGCCCCCTCCTCTCCTTCCTCCTCCGCCCTGGCCCCGAGGGAAGCCCCCACTGACCAGCATGCGGCAGAGGAGACACGGGGGACTCACTCTGGTCTGAGCGCCCAGGACAAGTCCATCCCCACTGGGTCAACTCTCCCTGCCCGTAGGCACAGGGCGTTTTGCTGTCCCTCCTGCCCATCCAGGGTCTTGAGGGTGGCACCCACCCCAGGGCTTGGGTGCTCAGAGCTCCTTAGGGCCTCTGCGTTCCACACCAGAAGAAACCATCGACCCCGAGGGGGAGACCAGGCTCCCCAAGGGGCTGACAAGGAGGAAGGAACCATGGAGTTTACAGGGCACAGTGGCAGTGCTGAGAGGGGCCTTGTAGAGGACCTCTGAACCAATTCTGGGCGGGGAAACTGAGGTCCTAAGAGGGAGGGACTGGCAGGTAGCATGCTAGGCCGGTAGTGGCAGTAACTGGGGCCTGCCTGATGCTTTGGCCCTCATCCTCCAAAGGAGATCTTTTGTTTTGAAAATGCCACCTCCCCACCCGTCTCCTAGGAGGGGTCTGTGAGCTTCCACACTCGGTCCAGGACCTCCCAGAGGAGGAGCCGCTCCAGCACAAGCTGCAGGTGCCTCCAGCCTGCCCAGGGCCACCCCCCAAGCATCTCCCAGAGGGATGGGAGGGTGGGCAGGCGACACATTTTTTTTTTTCAGAGGACACAGGTCAGCTGGGGTATCAGCCAGAGACTCCCTGCGCATGTGTTCATTTGGGTGTGGGAGGCGCTGTGTGTGTGTGTGTGTGTGTGTGTGTGTGTGTGTGGTGGGTGGCTGAGCCTGGGCCAGGGGAGATGGGGAGGACTCCCACACAGCGCAGTGGCCAGCTGAATCCCAGACCCGCAGAGCCTGGAGGCTTTGCTACCACCACATGGTGCAGAGGGGCAGTATGGTGTGTGAGTGTGGGGTTCCTGAAAAGTCCCTGCCCGCAGGCTTCACAACCCGCTTGGTACACGCTCGGGCAGCCAGGGGCATCGGTGGGCAGCCAGGGGCAGCGGTGGGCAGCCGGGGGCAGCGGTGGGCAGCCAGGGGCAGAGGTGGGCAGCCGGGGGCAGCCCGGGGCAGCACTGCGACAGGGGGTGGGGCCCGTGCTGCACACTGACAGTGGACAGGTGGACCTCCGGGGTGCACGCCCTCCAGCCCGAGTGGAGAGGGGAGTGGAGGGCGCAAGAGGCAGACGGATCAGGAAACATACATGCAAACATACATGCAACACCACCCTCCTGCTCAGCGCCGCGCCCCCTGGGCCCCACGCCCATAGGGATGCCCGGATCGACGCCCGCACCCCCGCTCGCTCGGGTACCTTGGTCCGAACTTGCTCGGGCTTCCACTGCGGCCGCAGCTCGCGGATGAGGCGCAGGGCGCCGGGCAGGATGTCGTCCGGGTGCACGGAGACCGCGAAGCAGGGGACGGCCGCCCGCGGGGGGCCCGGGGGCTCCCGGCAGCGCGCGCCGGCCGTCGCGCCCTCCTCCATGCCCCATGGGCACTGCGGGCCGGGCGCCGGCCCCCGCAGGTAAAAGGGCGCGCGCGGCACTGGCGCCGGAGGGGGCGCAGCCATTCCCGGGGCCGCCCCCTCGGAGCCGCCGCGCGCACGCGGGCCAGGCCGGGCCGGGCGGAGGGGGGCCGGCGGGGGCGGCGCAGGCGGGGAGGGGCCGGGGTCAGGCCATGCCCCGGGAGCCCCTGCCCGCCGCCGCGTCCGCCTCCGCGCAGCCCGCCGCCCCGAGCCGCCCCGGGGACGCCGCCGGGGCCGGCCGCGGCGGTGACATCACGGGCGGGCGCGGGGCGGGGGGCGGGGGCCGCGGGCACGCCCCCTCCTTCCGCCCCTTCGCCCCCTCCCTTCGCCTTCTCCCTCCGCCCCCTCCGCCCCCTCCGCCCCGTCCGTCCCCTCCTCCTCCGCTCCCTCCGCCTCCTCCTCCGCCCCGCGCGGCCCGGACCCGGAGGCGCTACCAGCAGCCCTGGGCCGCCACTACCTGGAGCGCGGGGCGGGGCTGCAGCATTGACGCAGGGACGGGGGCGGGGCCGTGGCCGTGGCCTTGACTGGGGGGCGGGGCGCCTGGAGGGCCTGCGGCTGGGGCCCATCTCCCCCGCACCCTGGGGCACCCCCGCCTCCACCCAGGGCTTGGTCCTTTGCTTTCGAGGCGGTAGGGTGGCTTCCTAATTCGGCTGGAGCCGCCTCTCTCTCTCTCTCTGGGGCAGGCCCGGGGGAGGGGGGCTCTTCCTGCGCCCCCACCCCATTCTGTGGGGGTGGTGCTGGGGGAATCCGGCCCTCTGCCCCTGCCCAGCCCTCTGCCTCCAGGCCCTGGACTCGTGGGGAAAGGTTCTGCAGCCCATGCCGAATTTCATTGGTGGTTCCTTGCAGGGAAGCCCCCAGGGAAATATCTGCCTACACACACACACTCACACACACACACACACACACACACTCACACACACTCACATACACACACACACACACACACTCACACACACTCACACACACTCACATACACACACACTCACACACACACACACACACACACACACACACGGAGAAGGGACATTGGGGATGATGCATGTTGGGGGTCGGGGTGCTAATGGGTATCTCACTAGTTACCAGCCTGGTGGGAGAGCTCTTACCGTCCCCCCAGAAAATCCCTAAGGAGAAGGGGCCCTTTTCTGTTTCTCCAGGTTGCCTCGCTGACCTGTTGGGGAACCTGTCGCCCACAAGGGCCCATCGTGAATGCTGTGCGGAGCCCGGCTCTGCCCGGAGGACCGTCTGTGACGACGGGAATGTCCTGTATGGTCTTGTCCAGTGCAGCAGCCACGAGCCCCACGTGACTCTCCTGCACTTGAAATAGGACCAGCGTGGCAGTGAGTGTTAGTGTGGATAGCCGCATGTGGTTATCATATTGGACAGCGCAGGAGATGGTGGGGGGCTGCACACGTAAGGTCAGGGTGCCCCAGCATGTGGAGCCGGAGTGGGCGCTGCGGCTGACCCGGCCTTTTTGCAGTCAGGAAATAAAGCAGGGCAGGCAACCTCCGAGAAACATGCTCTTGGCTCTGCAGGACTCTGCCCAGGCAGGGATGGTGCCCTGGAGGAGACGGGGGTCCCTCATGATCCTGAGTGGCAGCTTTCTAGAAGGTGTGAGGTTTGCCGGGACCTGATCAGGCTACTCAGTCAGTGCCTCCTCCTTTTTGGTCTTACCAGGAAGAGGGACAGCGCCTGTGGCTTTAGGGGGATACCGGCCCTCATTCCCTGAGCCGGACATCCCTGCCGACGGCCCAGGGGTAGGAGGAGGAGGAGACTCGGCCTGTCTCCAGTTCAGGAGGTGGAGAGAGCGTGTACGTCTGTGCTCAGGGTGTGTGTGGGGGGATGGTTGGGGGAAGGTAGTAGGGGGGTGTCTCCCTGTCAAGTTTGCCTGCATGTAGATAAGGAGGAAAGCCCCTAAGACACAAGTCTCAGAGGCTGGGTTCCGGTCTTGAGTGCTCACACTTCGCTGAGTGATCTCGGCCAAATGCCTTCCACTCTCTGAGCCTCAGTTTCCCCACACGTAAAAAGGGAGTACTGCTCAGATCGCTGGCGTTCCCCCTTTTCAGGTGACGGTGCCTTGGCCTGCACTGTACATGGCTCCATTGGATCGGGGGTGGGGACAGGGTCTCGGGGTGGCTCGGTGCTGGAGAGGCGGGCCTGGCTAGCTCATCAGGGCAGAGCCTGAGCCGGGGTCGGCTTCCGCGGCTGTGAGGGTCTTGTTGATCCACAGCCTACGGTTGGTAACAGCCTTGGCCTCGGTCCTGGAGAGGCCGGAGGGGGGAAGGGGCTGGCGTTCTGCAAACCTCCCACCCAAGGTTGTGTAAACAAGTCCGCCGGAGCCCTGCAGACGTCAGGTGAGTGTGTTTGTTATTCCGGGCCGCATTCCTGTCTGGACACGATCACGCGGCCGTCCCTCCCTCCGTTTCCAGCCCTATGGACCCAGGTGCAAGAGGGCTGTGAGCATGGAGTTTTTATTCTGTTTGTGTCCTCCAAGCGGGGAGGAGCGGGGCTGGGGCAGGGCTGCATCCACCAGGCGCTCTGTGTCCTGACCCTCCCGTGAGGACACAGGCGTGGTCGGAGGCGGACCAGCGAGGGCTCCCGCCCAGGCTGGGGTCCCCCTGGCGGCCGCAGGGCCCGCGGAGGGCCTCAGTGGGCCAGAGCGAAGCCGATGCGATTGTTCCGCCGATCGAATTCCGTGTAGAACTTGCGGATGAAGCTGGCGCCCAGGATCCAGACCGGCCCGGTGGGCGGCGGGATGTCCATACCGTGGAGGGCCAGGGTGCACAGGTTATCGTTACTGTAGGGGTCCTGGCGGGAAGCACGGGGTTTCCTCACTGCCCAGCACGTGACCATGCTGCCCTCATCCTGCCTGACGCCAGGGGCCTTCCTCAGTCACGTCCCTCCTCTTCTCCCCCTCCTCCTATACTGCGCCTCCATTGCATCCTGCCCTTTCCATGCCTCATGGACCGCACCCCTCTGCACACAGGCACTGTGCTAGACACCGGGCACACGAGGCAGTAGGCACAGCCCAACCCCCACCAGCTGACCGGTAGAGCTGCTGATCCCGGCAAGTTCTCTAATTCTCTAAGTCTATTGGGTAGAAAGGGGGATTTGAATGCAGGAGCCTTGCATTATGGAAGCATTTGATGAGAAAAGGGAGAGAAGGAGCTGAGCACTGCGATCCCTAAACTCGGCTGCACATTGGAATCACCTGGGAGTTGTGACAACACGGACGTCCAGGCTCTGACTCAATAGGTGGGGGACGTGGCTTGCTCCTGGGACTTTTAGAAGCTCCCGGAGTCTCCAACAGCCGGGTTTGAGAACTGCTGGGCTAGTAGGTAAACGGCCACAATGACTTGTCCCTTACAGAGGGTTCCTGCCCGCCCCGCCTCCCCCCCCACCCCCACCCACCTGCAACTCACCTGTAACACGTAGTCTGCACTGGTGAGGGTGTAGGCTCTGCCTCCGAGGTGGAAGGAGATGTCAGGGAGGGTGGGCACCTGCTGACAGCTCACGACATACTGGGGAGAGAGTCAGGGAGGCCCTTGGAGAGGGGAGGCCTCCCAGCAGACCCAGCCCCGTGCTTGTGGCCTGTCCTCCGCTCGGGCGGGGACCCCGCCACATGTGAAGAGTGTGAGAGGTGAGGAGGGGAAGGCCTGGAATGATCTACCTCCTGTGGGACCCAGTGCTGCCTGAGTGACTTGGGGGTCTGAACCAGTAGCACCTCCCACCCGGCACCGCCTCTCCAGCGACTCACCTCGTCGGTGCTCAGCTCCCGGGCCCCCACCGTCTCCATGAGCAGCCTCAGCGAGCTGGTGGGCCCCGAGATGTAGGAGGCGCCGGTGTCCACCACCGCCATGCAGCCCTCCTTACAGAGCAAGGTGGACGACCTCACAGACACCCTGGGGGAGGCCAGAGTCAGACGGGCAGACAGACAGGCAGACAGACAGGCTCAGGGGGCACCAGCCGGCTGCGGTGAAGGCTGACTGAGGCGGGAGCTGGAGGAGGAAAGGGGCTGCCTGCTCTGGGCATGTGCTTAGTGACCCCCACCTCCTCTCAGTAGCCCCCTCCCTCCTGCCCCTCACATTTCACCGGTCCGCGTTCCCTGACAGAGCAGGCAGAGAGCAAAGGCTGGCTGTGCCTTAGGAGGTAGCTGCATTGGAGCGAGGGCAGGATGGCAGCCTCGCCCCTTCCCCACCCCACTCTTAGCAGCAGCAGCAGCATTTGGGGGGAACAGGCAGGGTTGAGTATATCTGACCCTTTCATCATGATCTGCCAGGAGCCGGGCTTGCTGATGCTCACGTAGTGGAAACTCCCTTGGTAATACTGAGGGTCACTGCCTCCCAGCACAATCTCTCCCCCCTGCAAGTGGGAATTCCTAAAGGAAAGATCAGAAGTTCTTGGAGACCGGTGACCCCAGCGACAAGGGGTAGGGGTGCGGGGGGCGATGGGGCCCTGGAAGGCAGGGGGCCAGGCTGGGAAACTGCAGCGCGTGTCTCTTCTCCACCTTCCCTGCCTCCCCCCGCTCCCCCCCCCCCCCCCCCCGCCCAACCTCGGTGCCCGGAGGATGGTCCCACTGCACCAATAAAGCATCCCCTTCGTGGTCCCAAAAAAGAACGGGCACCAGGACTGACAAGAATGCAAACAAGACACACCTGGCCCCACCCGCACTTGGGTTTGGGCTGCTGTGGGCTGAAGAGGTGCACGGGAGGGACCTGGGGAGCTGTAGGGTGTGGGTGGGGGGCAGGGGCAGGAGGAGAGCAGGAAGCAGGGAGAGTACATCAGTGTCCAGCAGAGCCTGGGCCTGTGAGGTGAGTTTTGGGCAGGTGGAAGGTCAGGGTCAGGTGGGGGCGGGGTGTGTGTGTGTGTGTGTGTGTGTGTGTGTGTGTTTCCTCTCCTTACTTGGAATTCCTGCAGAGAAAGAGACAACAGAAGGAAGTCTTTGTTTCAGAGCCCCTCACTAGCCGATGCTGGCAGGCTGGGTCTTTTGCACTTTTCTCAGGAAAGGGTGGCACCAAGAGGTGAAGCTACTTGCCTGAGGGCATCCAGGCACCAGAGGGCGGGGGGGGGGGGAAGGGGGGGTGGCGACTGGGGGACTGGAGTCAGAGCTGCTGGGGCCCAGTCTGAAGCTGACCCCCTCCCCTTCCTCTCCTTCACACTGCACACTGCCTCCCACGGAGCCCGCCTTAGGGCCGGTTTCTGGTGTGTGTGTGTGTGTGTGTGTGTGTGTGAGAGAGAGAGAAAGAGAGAGAGAGAGGGAAATGGGGCTTCCAGCATTCCTAACAGGAGGCATGTGTACATGCTCATGTGTACCCAGTTATGTAGCTCTGCACATCCTGTCTGCACAAGTGTAATTCATTGCATTTTTACAATTCTAGTCAGCATGCCTGTGGGCTGGCGCACGTTCCCTCAGCCCCTCTCCTGACACTTCAAGATTCTCCGATGTGCTGGGTCCCCCTCCCTTCCATGGTCTCCTGTGCCCTCCACTATCATCCCTGCCCCACATGTTCAGTCCCTTGCTGTCCATGGCCTTCCCTCCACCTGCAGGCTTGCTTAGACACGCTCTTGCGTTTAAAAACACTCACCCTTCTTTTCTCTGCTCCCTTCACCGCTGCCTGCACCCGCACCTGACAGTCCTTCCCTGTGGATTTCTCGGGGCCGACACCTGCCCTTCGCTTCCTCACACCCGTGTTCGCCTGCTAACTCCCTGCCACCTGGCCTTGCTCACCTCTGGACCAGCCCCTCCCAAGGCGCCTCTGGCTGCACAGCCAACCTGCGGCCTCTCCGCAGTGTTTCCCTAGCACCCAACCGGACGCTCCTCTTCCTTTTACCCGAGGCTTCTCTGGAGTCTGACCCTCCCCTCCATGCTCCCTGGCCCCCGTGTTCCTGCCCTTAGGATCCTGTCTCTCACTCAGGCCATTTCTCTGAACCCAACAGCTTGGAGCAGATCACGAACGTGCTCAACAGCGGACAGTGGCCCTCCCAGGGCCCACAGACATGCACAGGGCTCAGGCCAGAGCGGAAAGGCCCTCCGGTGCCAGCCCCGGGCTGCCTGCTGGCCCGTTCCGTGTCCTCCTGCCAGACTGCCGGCTCCGTGAGGGCAGGACTCTGTCTGGCACACTGTTCCTGCCTGCAGCCTCAGCACCTCACACAGGGCTTGGTGCAGAAGGGCCCAGTATTTATTGAATCATTGAATATATAAATGAATGAATGAATGATTGATGTCCACTCTCTCTGTGTGGGAGGAACATGGGCCCTTGCAGGGAAGGCCCCAGGCCACAGCAATGCTTACCTCCCATCACCCCACGTTCTCTTGTCCCCCAGCAGTGCTGACAGAACTCTCTGCGATGAGGGAATGCTCTGGGTTTGTACTATCCAATACGGTAGCTAGCAGCCACTGTGGCTGCTGAGCGCTCGTGATGTGGCTAGTTCCACTGCGGAACTGAGTGCCTAATTTTATTTAATTTTAATTTATGTAAATTTGAGAGGCGGCTTCCCTGTTGGATTGAATGGTTGGATACCACCTGATCCCCAACATCAAAGTCCTGGGCCACCTCTCCTCTTACCCTCCAGCCCCCGCCCCCGCCCAGGCCAGGCCCACCTGCTGTAGTAGACGGAGAAGACCTCCTCCTTCAGCACCCGCTGCGAGAGGATGTGGTCGAAGATGGGGGTGACCCCAGCCACGGCCTGTGCGGGGAAGCCCATGCCCAGGACCCCGTCAAACTTGGCCAGCATGAAGGGGATGGCGGGCAGCTCCGTGACCTCTCCGAACGTCTGCATCACCGTGATTCCGCCCACCTGTGGGAGGAAGGACCAGAGGAGACCACGCCACTGCCCACCCGCCAGGGTCTAGTCTGGCTTCCACATGGGGGGGTGGGGGAGGTGGGGGTGGAGGGGGGGGGACGGAGAGGGGCTCGGGGCTGCACAGGTTCTGGGGTGAGACCTTTCGACACCCTCCCCCCTCAACTACAATGTCCTCTCTTCTAATGCATCCAGGCCAGTGGTTCTCAACCTGTGGGTTACAACCCCTTTGGGGGCCCAACGACCCTTTCACAGGGGTGGTCGTCGCCTAAGACCTCCTGCCTATCAGATATTTACATTACGATTCATAACAGCAGCAAAATGACAGTTACGAAGGAGCAAGGAAAATTGTTTATAGTTGGGGTCACCACAACATGAGGAACTGTATGAAAGGTTGAGAACCACTGCTCCAGGCTGTTGGGTCTACAGAGACCTGGGGTTGCCAGTGAGGGGAAGGGCAGAGGCTGAGAAGATGGTCCTGCCCAGCAGTAGTAGGAAAGCTGCCAGGAGCTCCCACACCCCCTCCCCAGTGCTCACTTTCCTTTTGGCAGGACTAGCTCAGTGCCCACCCCCATCGTGGGTGGAGCGCTTCTTCAGCACAGCCAGGCCTGCCTCCGCTCCTCCCCCCGCCCTCACAGACAAGGGCAGGGGGAGGTCCCACAAGTAGCCCTTCCACCAACCCTGACCCAGCAGGGGCTGGGCAAGCCCTGGGATGGGGAAGGGGTGGGACACAGGCCAAATGGAAAGGCAAATCAGGCTCTGACCCTAATCCTAAACGCTAACTTTAACTATGGCCCTCCCGGGCCCCCAAACCAACCCTGCCCGCAACGTCCACTGCACGGTGGCCCCTGACGCTGACCTCGGTCTAGGGCCGTAGTCGGCAAACTCATTAGTCCACAGAGCCAAATATCAACAGTATAACGATGGAAATGTCTTTGGAGAACCAACATTTTTATACTTAAACTTCTTCTGACGCCACTTCTTCAAAACAGACTCACCCAGGCCGTGGTATTTTGTGGAAGAGCCACACTCAAGGGGCCAAAGAGCCGCCTGTGGCTCGAGAGCCGCAGTTTGCCGACCACGCATCTAGAGTCTGGGGAGGGGCTCAGTCAGGGCGCGACCCCCTGGGGCAGGTCACTGGACTGCAGGCTGTGGGGCTCAGACCAGCCCTGGTGTGAGTCAGACGCACAGCCTGCAAGAATCGCCCGCGCTGAGGGCAGCGGGGCTTGCTCTGTCCAGCGGCAGAGCTGTTCTCAGACCGCAGGGGGAGCTGGGTGGCACCTCTCCCGAGAACGGGCCCTAGAGTGGCAGGAACGGGCCCCAGAGTGGCAGGAACGTCTGGGGACAAGACGGGCAGGAGGTCGGCTGACCCGGGCGGGTTCTGCTTACGGTCACCATATCCTGGCTCAGGAAGCCGTTGACTTTCCCGGACCCGTAGCGGATGGTGAACTCTGTCCCGTTCTCCAAGTAGGTGGAGGACTCCAGGGAGTTGTAGACGCTGTGAATCTCTGGAAGAGGGACATGGGCTCAGTGTGTCCCCGAGAGGGCGGTCCTGGCGGGGGGCCGGGAGGCAGGTGCCCAGGGACGTGGCCTGTGTGCTTGAGGACGTAGGGGCAGGGATGGGGTGGTCCTGAGGTCGGCCAGAGGTTTGGAAAGATGTGTTTCATCAACCGAGGACTGTGTTCCTTGGGGCCCGTTAGGTGCCCAGGCCTCTGAGAATTTTGTCTCAGACGAAGCACGATAAAGTGAGCGCTAACCCTGGGATGAGGAGAAGATTCTGGTTCCAGGCAGCACTCCACATGAAGTTGTTGGCTAAGGCAGTGTGCCGGAAACCAATCATTGTCTCACTAATAGAAAGAGGCTGGTCAGCCTTGAAGCTCTGAAAGGTCAGAGCCAACCACACCCTATCTAATTGAGACAATGGTAACTGAGGCAACTTCCCCATCTTATAATCATGTAAATCCTTACTGGTATGATAATCCGCTTATTACCTGCCTAAGGGCTATGGGTGTTTCCCAAAGCTGCTTAAGGGTACTGGGTGTTCCCCAAAGCTGCTTAAGGGTAATGGGTGTACCCCATAACAGCCTCAATAAAAGGGATAGCAAAGCCAGAGCCTAGAGTAGGGGTGTCGAACTCAATCAGAGAAGGGGCCAAAATCTAAAATCCAGCCTAAATCGCGGGCCGAATGGTTTACTGAACAGTCATAAACTGTCATTGTGATGGAAACGCAGCGGAGTGCAGTGATGACAGCGCGGTGCGGGCCACATTGCAAGGCCTGGCGGGACGGATTTGGCCCGAGGGCCTTGTGTTTGACACATGTGGCCTAGAGAGTCTTCCCACTAGAGGTTGACTCCCGCCTGGCCCCCCATTTGTCCCAAATTAACTCTTTTCTAGTCTCTCTCTTCATTTTAGTGTGTGGCCTCCTCCAGAAACCGGACCCTGAGTGGGCCCTAATCACACAGGTCGTGTTAAGGGCTCCCACAGCAGTGGTCGGCAAACTGTGGCTCAAGAGGCATGCCGACCACTGGATAGGGGCTTAATCACAAGGAACAACAACAGCCTGTAATTATTGGAATTGAGAGTCTAGGTCAGCGGTCGGCAAACTCATTAATCAACAGAGCGGCAAACCGCAGCCCGAGAGCCGCAGTTTGCCGACCACTGGGCTAAGGAGAGCGATGGAAGAGCCCCAAAGCCTGCGGGTCTGAGCATCCAGTCCGCTGTCAGTGTCCGGAAGGGTGGGAGGCTGGGAGTGGGGGTGGGGTGGGGATGTCTCCCAAAGCTTGCCCTTTTACCGTGATGGCCCCCTCAGGAAAATGGGGGACATTTCCCTCTCCTTTCAGGGGCAGTGGGAGCAGAGGGAGAAAAGGAATAGCGCCAATGAGAGCAGGAGGGGTTGAGCTGGGCACGAGGCAGGACCGCCCAGGCATGCAGGGGGAGGGGGGCTGGTGCTCACGACAGGCTGTGTAGAGGGGGCTGCACTTGGTGGAGGGCACCCAGAGGTTGGCCGATCCCGTGTCAAAGATGACTTTGAAGGTCTGGGGAGGGGTGCCAATGCCGATCTCGCCATAGTACTGGGTCTGTAGGGGTGAAAGGAGGAGGTAGCTGGAGGGACTTGGGGAGCCTTGGACCTTGGGATTTCCCTTGGTTTCCCCTCCTTGGCACTTGGGGTGAGAGTAGGCAGATCACACAGCCTCTGTGGGCTTCCATTTTCCAGCAGGGCTTGGACTAGGAGGCTCAGTCCTCAGGCTCATAGGACTTCCCAGGAAGTGAGGCAAGAGGCAAAATTCAAATACTGAAAAGGAAGTCGGAAGGCCCCCCTTGAGGAACCACGGGAAGCAGTGGTTTGTGCTGAGCCTGATCGCAAGCACCTGCATCCGAGGTCACACACACCTGCCCCCAGCGCGTCTGGGCCTGAGGCCCCGAATTCCGAGTCCCAAACCCACCCTGCTGCCGGGCTCTCCCCTGCCTCCGTGCCTCGGGCTTCCCGGCTGTGAAATGGGGATGTGGTGGGATGCTGAGTGTTTGCTCCTCAGCAACTCGGTGGAAGCCTCGGGCCCAGGAGCGGAAGGAGGGGGGAGGCGCTGGCGGGCACTCACGTCCAGGTAGTTGGTGAGAATCACGGAGGCGGTGCTGTTGGTGAGGAGCCACCTCCCGGAGGGCTGGCTCCCTGCCGCCCGGAGCCTGGACACTTCCACGCCGCGCTCCTTCAGGCTTTCCCGGACGGAGGGCATTTTCTTCAGGAAGATCCTGGCCCAGAGCGAAGACCGGAGAAGAGGAGAGCTCTGTGTCTCCTCCACAACTACAGGGTGTCCCTGGCGCACCTAGGACCCTCACCCCGAGCCTTGGCCCAGGCAACTAAGAACCACTCTTGTGCCCGTGGGCCTCTGGCGGAGGATTTAGCAACCTCAGTGAACTCCTGCACTAGTGTTAAATGACCCTCAACTACCTTCCCCTGCTGTCTAACTTTGATCCATTCGTTCGTTCGTTCATTCATTCATTCCATAATCACATGCTTAAACCTCCTCTGGAGGAGATTAAAGATCTCTCTTTAATAATAAAAGCATAATATGCTGCCGGGACCAGTTTGGCTCAATGGATAGAGCATCGGCTTGGGGACTGAAGGGTCCCGGGTTCGATTCCGGTCAAGGGCATGTACCTTGGTTGAGGGCATATCCCCGGTAGGGGGTGTGCAAGAGGCAGCTGATCGATGACTCTCTCATGGATGTTTCTAACTATCTCTCTCCCTTCCTCTCTGTATAAAATTAATAAAATATATATTAAAAAAAAGCATAATATGCTAATTAGACAGGACAGCAGAACAACCTTCCCAATGACCTTCTGGATGAAGCTGGGGCTGCGAGGGCTGAGCCCTTGCACGAATTTCATGCACCGGGCCTCTAGTATGAAGATGAAGGCCATTGCTGCCTTTGAGGAGCTCCGACAGGGGAGACAGAGGAAACACAATGGCATCCCTTCAAACTAGAGGAAGGCTGGGAGTGCCCCGCCAGCTGGGCAGGAAGAGGCAGTTCCTCGTGCCGCCTGTAGGTGGCAGCAGACACCCACAGCCCCCTGAGGGCTCCAGGTGCCTGGGACTGGAGTGTGGAGGAAACCCACTGAGGGGGACCTGTGCACGCTGTCCTTGGAAAGTGTGCCTTCCTGAGCCTCATCCCAACCCCGTGGCTTCTTGCCCTGAGGCCCTCCTTCCACCTGTGGGAGGCAGCATCCGAGACCCGAAGAACTCCCAGCAGAGCGAGCTGCCACGCCCTGTGTAACCGGCAGGCCAACGCCACGCTAGGGCTGTCCTCCCTTTATGAGGAGGGCACGGAGGCTCACAGGGATGAGGTGAGGCAGCGTGTCTGGCCCTAATTCCTATATACCCCCCACCTCCACCCCCCCAGACTTTGACATGAAGGCTGTGGGCAGAAGCCTGAAGGCAGATGTCCCTGGCTGTTGGTGGGGAAGGTGGGGGTCCCAGGATTGCAGCCCAGTTTATGGAGAAGCCCTCTTCCAGCTGCCAGCCCTCCTGTACGTGCAGTCTCCCCCCACTGTCCGCACCCCAGCATGCTCACGAGTATGGATGCCACTTTCATATTCCACGTGGAAGTCAGTGACTTGTCAGCCATCACAGCTTATGATTCGAAAAGTATTTGTGCCATTAGGATCTTATTCGATTCTCAGTCATCCCACAAGGTGGTAATTTTATTATTCCCATTTTACAGATGGGGAAATGGAGGGGCAGGGAAGGCTTGACCCCAAAGAGGGAGCATTTTCCCACTATTTATTCTGAACAGCCTCTGCTCTGGCCCTTCCCTTTCACCGTTCTTCTTTCAGAAAATCCCTTTCTCCACCTCCCACCCTTCTTTCTTTCATTCTTCCAAGCTTAGCATTTACCGCCTCTGCCAGGACACTTGCCCGTGAACTTCCCACTGGCCTTGCCTCGGCTTAGGCTCCTTCTCTGTGCTCCCCGATGCCCACAGCCACCACCACACAGCCAGGCGCTCACAGGTGCTGCTGGCTGGTGAGGGCACGGTGGTGGTGGTGGCGGCGACAGGCTTGACCCCCTCACTCCCTGTGTAATTCTGAGCAACTTACCTAGCCTCTCTGGGCCTGTCTGAGCCCCCAAGAACTCCTCTCTAAAAATGGACTTAACGCTAATTCAAAAGAATATATGCGCCCCCATGTTCATTGCAGTGTTATTTACAACAGCCAAGATTTAGAAACAGCCCAGTGTCCATCCGTGGGTGGGTGGATAAAATAGCTGTGGCACGTGTATCCCATGGAATGCTACTCGGCCATGAAAAGGAAGAAAATGTTACCCGTTTGCGATAGCATGGAGGGACCTGGAGAGCATGACGCTAAGTGAAATAAGCCAGTCAGAGGAAGACAAGTACCGTATGCTTTCACTCATAAGTGGGATTTAATGGACAATCTGAACGACTAAGCAAAATAGAGACAGACTCATAGATAGAGATAGGTAGATAGCTCAGTGGGGGAGGGGGAAGGAGGAGGCGGCGAGTTGAGCAAAAAAGAAAAAGAGAGAGAGAGAGAGAGAGACAGAGAGAGAGAGAGAGAGAGAGAGAGAGAGAGAGAGAGAGAGAGAGAGAGAGAGAGAACTCATGGACAAGGATAACAGCGTGGTGACTCCAGGAGCGTGGGAGGTGGAAGACAGCATAGAGGGTATAAATGGTAAATGGGTGGGTGGGGGAGAAAGCAAGCCTTAGATAAAATTTTACCTCACACAGCCAAAACCAGTTTGGCTCAGTGGATAGAGCGTCAGCCTGCGGACTGAAAGGTCCCAGGTTTGATTCCGGTCAAGGGCATGTACCTTGGTTGTGGGCACATCCCCAGTAAGGGAGTGTGCAGGAGGCAGCTGAGAGATGATTCTCTCTCATTGATGTTTCTAACTCTTTATTTCTCTCCCTTCCTCTCTGTAAAAAAATCAATAAAATATATATTTTTAAAAAAATTTTTACCCCACACAGAAAAAAAAAAAAAGGTTACTGAATGGTAATACCTACCTCAGAGAGTCACTGCACAAACTGCATGACCCGCACACTGCTCAGTGAAGGTCAGTGTGTATGCAAAGGGCTTCAAGGCACCGTGAGCATGGATCCTAAGTTCATGCGGGCCCCTCCCGGCAGCACAACCCGTACAGCTGTGTTCCCAGCTCCTCTCCACTGCTGGCCCGTCCCTCTTCTCTTCTCTTTTTGAAGAGAAGAAGGGAGGATGTTTTTACTTCTCTCTGCCTGCACCCTGGGGCGGAGGCTGCACCCCGGCACAAGCTGCTGGGACACCCCCAGCTTCTCATCCCCCAGCTTCCCGGCCGCTGCGGCTGTGTGACCATGGACCAGGCCCCTGGCCTTTCTGTGCCTCCATGCCCAGCTGGCAGTGAGGGCTGGATGGCATCACGTATCTGAAAGCCGGGCGTGTTAGGAAGGAGAGAGCCCCTCGCCCTTGCCACCCTCTCCCGCCCGGGTTACCGTCGGAAGGAGCCCGTGTCCACGGCGAGGCTGGAGGTGCAGGAGCCGCAGAGCAGCAGCAGGAGGGCCCAGTGCAGCGTGTGGCATTCGCCCATGTTCCCTGCGTCCGGCTCGCTCCAGGGTCCACTGAACCAGTGGCTCCCCGGACCTCCTCCTTTTAAACTCTCCGCACAGGAGGGTGGCAGGCCTGCCCGGCCTGGATTGATTGCCCCGGGGGCAGATGGCAGGGCAGCCGGAATAACCTGCCCCCTCACTCCCCAGGGGACTGAGCGATGTGAGGAAAGGGTAGCCAGGTGGGGACCCAATGCCCCACCAGTGACGCCAGCGGCCGGGCCTCAGCCTGGCCTGTGACCCCGAGGGGACAGAGGCTGATGGGAACCAGCCCTGCTCAGGAGCGAGGTCAGGGCTGGGACAGGCATGGGCCCTGAGTTTCCAACCCCCACCATGGCTCCACCCCCTGCCCTCGAAGCTGCGTCGTCTCCATTGGCCTTGGCTATGGCGCCGCCTGGCTTCTGCCAGACTGCACCTCAGTGTTTCCATCCGGAGTATGGGTGACTCCTCCCTGCTGGTTCCCTGACAGAGCCAGACCCAGGCCCCTCCCTGACCTCCCGGGCCGGTCTTCAGGGCTGTTTACAGGAAGTGCACCTGGCGTCGCCCTATGAGAGCCGGGGCTGGAGCCAGGGACCATGTCCATCGGCACGTAGGGTTGGGGGCAGCCTCAGAGGCTCCGGAGGCTTCTGCCCAAGAGTGAGGTGGGGCAGCTGCTCGTCCAACCACTGATCCTCTTTCCCCGTGGCCCCACCCCTCTTTCCCTCCGGGTGCTGTCCCTCACCTTCCCTGGATCTTGTTGTTTCCAAGCGGCCTGGGACAGCTCACAAACCGGGCCCTGAATCCCAGCATGGGGGCTGCTCATCCGGATACCCTCTCCCCTCCCCTTCCTGCTGGTTCCTCAGGGCCCACTTCAGTGACCGCCGCTTCCTCCAGGAAGCAGGCCCTGATTTAGCCCAGAGTTGGCTGCTTTCTGATGGGGGCTCCACAGTGGGGTAGGAGCCCCTTAGGAGAGGGCGGGGCTCAGCTGTCCTGTATCTGTTTCCTCTGCACGTGAGCCTCCTCCTCTTGTGCTAAATCCTCACCGACTGAGCCAGCTCGTGGGCTGCGCTGGGCTCCTTGTCAGGGACCTGGGCTCTATCCCCAAGCTGCTGTGTGACGTTGGGCCCCTCCCTTCCTTCTCTGGGCCTCCGTTCCTAACTCTGTGCAAGGAAACAGGTGCTCGGAGGCCCCCGGAGTGCCTGCCTGCTCAGTCTAGTGTCTCTTCTGTGCCTTCAGGGGACAGAGTGCTGCACCAGCTGTGGGCAGCAAAGATTTAATCAGAAGAGCTCTTCTTTATGATCAGTACACTGCGGTCTTCCATGTCTAGGCCCCCTATGGACCCAGGCTCCCTTCCCTCCCCACCTCCCTGCCTCCCGCCTCCTGCCAGTGTGTGCAGCACAGCACGGGCTGGCCCTGGAGCGGCAGGGGCACATGTGACTAAGTGCAAAGCACCTCGCCCGCCCGGAGAGACACAGAACAGGAGGAGGCCGTAGGCACATTATACCCAGGGGTCGCAGGGGCCAGAAGAGAGGCAAGGAAATCAGTGAGGGTAACAGGGCTGGAAAGAACAGTCTCTCTTGCCCGTCGGCGTGACTCAGTGGTAGTTGAACCAGGAGGTCACGGTTCGATTCCCGGTCAGGGACTAGGTTGCACATGCCCGGGCTGTGGGCTCTAATGGGGGAGTGGGAACGCACAGTGGGCCCAGGCACCCTTGTCACGGGCTGTTCAGGAAAGTGGTTGTATCCGCAGAACATAGTTCCCAGGAATGGACCCTCCCTCCCCTCTTTCATATATATATATATATATATATATATATATATATATATATATATATGGTAATATATATATGGTAATATATATATGGTAATATATATATATATATATATATATATATATATATATATATGGTATAATATATGTTTTATTGATTTTAGAGAGAGAGGGGAAGGGAGAGGGAGAGAGAGAGAGAAACATCAATGATGAGAAACATCATCAATCAGTGTGGGGCTTGCAGGAGGCAGCCAATCAATGATTCACTCTCATCACTGATGTTTCTCTCTCTCTCCCCCCATCTCTCTTTCTCTCTCTCTCTCTCTCTCTCCCTCCCTCCCTCCCTCCCTCCCTTTCTCTCTGAAATCAATAAAAGATCATTATAGAAAAGAAGGAAGAGAAGAACAGTCTCTCTTGTTTTCCTGACACTCCGCTCAGAGGCTGGGCAAGGGCAGGCTTTGGGGCTCCTCTGAGGCCGCCTCTCCCTTCAGCCCCGGGGCCCTGAAGCCCTGACGGACTTCCCAGGGAAGCAGAGCCAGGCCCGCCTCCTCTGCAGCCTGAGCCCGAGGCCAGGCGGGGAGAAAGGGCTGGTTCCTTCCGGCCTCAGGAAGCCGTGCCTCCCAGCAGCACTGCCACAGGAGGAGCGCCCGAGAGGCCGGGCACTCAGCTGTGTGCTCTGACCCGCTCCTCCGCCATTGCCAAAGCTGGGGGGTGCGGGTCGGGGGGAGCCCTGAGGAGGAGGGGGAGCCACCGTGAGAACCCCTGCTCTCTGAACTTGGCCTTCCAATCCCCCGGGCTGCGGGCCGGAGGGTCGTGGGTGGAGGACCCTTATCAGGCCATCTGCCAAGCCCCGTCAGCCAGGGGCCCCGCTGTTCTCACAAAAGCCCCCAGAACCCACATCTGGGCCTCTGGCTGCGTCACCACGGGGTCAGGGCCGGCGGAGCGGGCGGAAGCAGAGGGAAGGGTTGCGTGGTACCTGCCCTTTCCCACGGGGTGGCCCCGCGATGTCAGGAGATGCATAAATCCAGCTGGAGCCGGGCCCATGGTCTCGCTCCAGGGCCCCCGGCCGGGCGTACAGGGTGGGGGCAGAGCCTGGGGGAGGGGTGTCTCTAGACACGGGGTGCTCAGGGGGCTTCTCTAAGAATGGCCCCAACTCCCAGTTTGCCCTACGGTGACCCCAAGGAGCTTCTGCGTTCAGACCGAGTCTGGGCGTGGTCAGCAGAGGTCACGGCGGAGGGCGAGGACATTGCCTGACTTTTGCTGTGGGACGGGCATGGGTGTGTGCCTGGCATTGGGGCGGGCATGGTTTTGTTTCGGGAATACTTCCCAGGGCCCCTGCCCCAGGGCAGGCGGGAGAGAGGTAGAAGTGGGACTGGCTGAGACTCAGAGAGGGGAGTGGGGCAGCTCTGGGCCAGCCCTGCCTCTGCAGGAAGAGCCAACGGGGAAGAGGAGGAAAGGTGAAAATGGACATGTCTCCGTCCCACCCGCCTCCTCCCCAACCACGCTCAGGCCCAGCTGGCTCCTCGGAGGAGTTTGTCGATCAGAGGGGGCCGCAGAGCTCCGCAGAGATGAGCAGATGGGGCCCTGAGGGCAGGAGGAAGACTGGAGGGGGGGAATGAGAAGCTGAGGCGCCTGTGTGGGCGGGAGGACCCAGTGTCCTTCTCTGGGGATTCCTGAGGAACAGGAAGCCAGCCACAGGGCTGGGGTTGGGGTGATCCTGACCTGAGCTTGCTCAGGGGGAATTGAAGGCAGGTCTCACAGGCCTTGGAGAGGAGGGGCCCGGGGAGGAGGGCCCGGCGAGGGTCTAGGGTAGGGGTGTCGAACTCAATCAGAGAAGGGGCCAAAATCTAAAATCCAGCCTAAATCGCGGGCCGAATGGTTTACTGAACAGTCATAAACTGTCATTGTGATGGAAACGCAGCGGAGTGCAGTGATGACAGCGCGGTGCGGGCCACATTGCAAGGCCTGGCGGGACGGATTTGGCCCGCGGGCCTTGTGTTTGACACATGTGGTCTAGGGAGAGCCTGGTCCCAGGTGCTCCTGCAATGAGATGCACCCAGTGCAGTGGGGCCAGACACCATATCCTGAGCAGGACAGCCAGACCCCTCATAGACTGTCTTCCCCACAGGGCACCGGAGGGCTGTCTTTTTAAATTTATTTTTATTTTATTGATTTTTCACAGAGAGGAAGAGAGAGGGACAGAGAGAAACATCGATGAGAGAGAAACATCAATCAGCTGCCTCCTGCACACCCCCTACTGGGGATGTGCCCACAACCAAGGTACATGCCCTTGACCAGAATTGAACCTGGGACCCTTCAGTCCCCAAGCTGACGCTCTATCCACTGAGCCAAACCGGTTTCGGCTCTCTCTAGGTTTTGTGGCTCTGGTGCCCCAGCCCTTTGAGCCTACCCAGGAAGTCCCTGGTGCCAGCAATGTCTATAGCCCCTCCCCTCCCAGCCCCCAGCCTGCCCTGCACCCCTTCCAATCAGGGCCGCAGGTTCAGAGCCAGGCTGGGGGCCTCATTAAATCCAAGATCTCTTCCCAAGACTTGGGGCCAAGAGCTGCAAGTCCCCGAGCCCTCGGCAGAGGTCCGGGAGGAGGAGCAGGACCTGCAGACCCGCTCTCCCGCCACTGGCTGAGTCAGGGGAGTGGACATCCTGGGGCCCGCGAGGCGCAGTGGGAGCTGAGGTCCCACATGTAGTTCGAAGGGCCCACCTCATTCCCCGGGCCACCCAGACACACGTCTGTGAACGTGCGCACATACTTACTCTCTCACACACTCAGTGTGCTTTTTACACCAGAGAACATGCTTCCTTCTCCTGGCCCCAAAGCTACGTCCCATCCCCTGACTTCTATCTGCTTAAACCCGGGCTCTGAGGAAGGCTTTGAAGCCTACTATAAGATGAGGCTGTCTCAGTAGATTTCAGAGGCGGCCAGTCTCTTCCCACCACACAGTCTTCATCGGGGAGAGAGTGGTCCAGGGAGCAGGAGAGTAATGCCCTCAACAAATTGGGGGGCGGGGGGACGGGACGGGTGTGTTTCTGATTCCTCTCCCTGAGGTAGAGACACCCTGGGCTGTTTGAGGGGGTGTCATGCTCTCCCAAACAAAAGCAGCGCCCCATCATGCCATGCTGTGGCATGAGCTCACAGAAATCCCAACTCCCCAGCTGTGGGGGCCCCCCAAAATGTGCCCACAGGCAGACTGACCTTTCCTGATGTCCACTCGGGCTGAGAGGGAGACTGCCACCTCGGAGAGGCCTCACTGGGCAGTGGGGAAGCCAGCTCTGGGGTCAGGGGCCTGGTTAGGCGGGTCTCTCATTGGCTGCGTGCATCGAGGGAGTTGTTTATCGTCCGGATACCTTATCTTTCTCACCTGTGAGAAGGGGGAAGCCACGCACAGCTGCCTGGTGGCAATGAGGATGGGGGTGAGTGATGTGCGTAATGTACTTGATCCATCCAGGGCTCTGTGGGGAGAGGGGGGTGGACGGCCCAGCTCCCTGTTGGCACCCCCTGTACACAGCGGGGTTCAGTGCCTCGGGGCTGCACACCCAGCACAGGGCTCACTGTGGGGCTGGGCTGAGAAGTAAGCCTCAGGGGACAGGGCAGTGGTTGGCATCATCGTCCAGATCAAGCTGTCTGACGTCCTGAGAGCTCCCCCGGAAAGGGGAAGGCCCGTAAGCCGCCTGCTTCCCCCTGGCCTAGCCCAGTGCTCGGCAAACTCACCAGTCAGCAGAGCCAAATATCCACAGCACAACGATGGACATTTCTTTGGAGAGCCAAATTTTTTAAACTTAAACTTCTTCTAATGCCACCTCTTCAAAATAGATTGGCTCAGGCCGTGGTATTTGGTGGAAGAGCCACACTCCAGGGGCCAAAGAGCCACATGTGGCTCTCGAGCAGTGGTTTGCGTGTGGGCTGAGGCCGGGGCCCCGCTGCAAAATGTTTGTTACCCTTTCACAGGGAGGGAAGTCTAAGAATGAAGAGGACACCGTCCAGGAATTTATTTTTTTTTAATATATTTTTTAATTGATTTTTTACAGAGAAGAAGGGAGAGAGAGATAGAGCTAGAAACATTGATGAGAGAGAAACATTGACCAGCTGCATCTTGCACACCCCCTACTGGGTTTGTGCCCACAACCAATGTACATGCCCCTGAGCGGAATCGAACCTGGGACTTTTCAGTCCCCAGACCGAAGCTCTACCACTGAGCCAAACCGGCTTCGGCCGTCCAGGAATTTTTATAGGAATTTTGTTTTGGGGGAGGGGGGGTCACTGTTCAAATCATCTCTGTTTATTTGGTTGTTTAACCCCTCTTCCTTCCCTTCCACCCACTCAGAGAATATAAGCTCCAAGACAGCTGCGGTGTGTCCCTGGCATTTTGCAGACCCTGGCGAAGAGGCAGCAGGCTCTGGGACCTGCAGCTCTAGACACCGGGGCCTGGCGTGCAGCCCCCTCCTCCCCTGGCCAGGCTCTTGGTTAACCTGCCTGCCCACAGGCTCAGGAGGAGAAAGCTGAGCGCGCCCACTGTTGTTCCCCAGGCCGAACCCCTTGCAGGCAGCGTGCTCAAGGGGCTCTCCCTGGCTGCAAGTGCCTCCTGGTAGCAGAGTGGGCTGCCCGGGGAGGACGCTGGGCCCACAGTCCCCCTGCAGCGGGGTGGCAGGGTGCCCTGGCCTGGGTCAGGCAGCCCCCACCCAGGGAGGTCTTGTGAGTCAAATGGGGCTGGCTGTCCCAATAGAATAAGGTGACCAAACATCCTGCTTTTGGCGGGACAGTCCTGATTTTTAACAATTTGTCCCACGATCTCTTGGCAAGACTGTAACTAGTAATATTTGTACAACCAAAGACTCTATTTTGTGGTTTAAGGAAAATAAAATTGACTATGTTTAAAAAACAAAACAAAAAACAATTTGTCCTGCGTCCCACGGCGTTTTAAAAAAGTCCTGATTTTTTTAAAACACCGCAGGATGTGGGACAAATTGTTAAAAAGCGGGCCGTCTGGTCACCTTACAATAGAACAGGATGTGGGCCTTCACTGGGAGGGTGGCAGGTCCCAGGGTGCTGCCAGGGAGAGCTGTTTCCCACCAGTACAGCCGATAAACGAGCGATGGGGATGGCCCTATGATGGTCGCCCAGCTGCCCGCCTGCAATGGCGTCCAGATCTGTCTCCAGGCCCACAGCGTGGGGGCTGGCTCTCTGGCACCTTCTGATGAAGCCATTGCTGCCGCCACCACCACCACCGCACCTGGTCCAGCTGGTGGGCAGGAGGAGCGGTTCTCGCAGCCTCTCCCGGGATGTAGCTCCCAATCCAAGGACCAGACCTCTACACCCACAGGGTGCGTGTCTGCCCCGGGCTCTCCAGGGGAGCCGCAGGAACTGGCCTGGGGCAGCCAGGGGGTCGCTCTGAGCCACGGGATTATGCCAACAAGGGTGCTGTTGGGGGAGGTGGGCCTTCCACCGAACAGACACCATTTCTTCCGACTTCAGCTGCTTCCTGACTGGGACAAGCCTCCATTTCCCGAACCCCAGTCGTGATCTGGCCGGGTCACCAGTTTTGCGTTACGTTCTTCCTACCCAAGAAGGTGTGGGATGCCGGACCTGTCCTTTGTCTGGGGGACCTAAACCACAAACATTTTTTTCTCGTGGTTCTGGCAAGGTCAAGGTCAAGGTCAAGGTGTCCGCAGATGTGGTTTGTGGTGAAGGCCTGCTTCCTGGTTCATAGACGGCTCTTCTGGGCCAGAAATTTGATTTTGCTAAGTATCCAAGCAGCATCTGACTTGGACTTCTCTGCAATTATTTTATAAATCTTCACTCTAGCCAAAACCGGTTTGGCTCAGTGGATAGAGCGTTGGCCTGTGGACTGAAAGGTCCCAGGTTCGATTCTGGTCAAGGGCATGTACCTTGGTTGCGGGCACATCCCTAGTAGGGGGTGTGCAAGAGGCAGCTAATTGATGTTTTTCTATCATTGATGTTTCTAACTCTCTATCCTCCTTTCCTCTCTGTAAAAAAATCAATAAAATATATAACAAAATAAAAATCTTCACTCTTTTACTGGAGGAGGGGTAGCGGGGGCGGGGGAGGGGAGTGTGTGCGTGCACGCTAGAAGCATTGGTCTGGGTGTGTGTGTGTGGGGGGGCGTTAGAAGCATTGGTCTGGGTGTGTGTGTGTGGGGGGGGGCGTTAGAAGCATTGGTCTGGGTGTGTGTGTGTGGGGGGGGGCGTTAGAAGCATTGGTCTGGGTGTGTGTGTGTGTGGGGGGCGTTAGAAGCATTGGTCTGGGTGTGTGTGTGTGTGTGGGGGGGCGTTAGAACATTGGTCTGGGTGTGTGTGTGTGGGGGGGCGTTAGAAGCATTGGTCTGGGTGTGTGTGTGTGGGGGCGTTAGAAGCATTGGTCTGGGTGTGTGTGTGTGGGGGGGCGTTAGAACATTGGTCTGGGTGTGTGTGTGGGGGGGGCGTTAGAAGCATTGGTCTGGGTGTGTGTGTGTGGGGGGGGCGTTAGAAGCATTGGTCTGTGTGTGTGTGTGTGTGGGGGGCGTTAGAAGCATTGGTCTGGGTGTGTGTGTGGGGGGGCGTTAGAAGCATTGGTCTGGGTGTGTGTGTGTGTGTGTGGGGGGCGTTAGAAGCATTGGTCTGGGTGTGTGTGTGGGGGGGCGTTAGAAGCATTGGTCTGGGTGTGTGTGTGTGGGGGGGGCGTTAGAAGCATTGGTCTGGGTGTGTGTGTGTGGGGGGGGGCGTTAGAAGCATTGGTCTGGGTGTGTGTGTGGGGGGGGCCGTTAGAAGCATTGGTCTGGGTGTGTGTGGGGGGGCGTTAGAAGCATTGGTCTGGGTGTGTGTGTGGGGGGGGGCGTTAGAAGCATTGGTCTGGGTGTGTGTGTGGGGGGGGGGGCGTTAGAAGCATTGGTCTGGGTGTGTGTGGGGGTAGCACTTGGCCCCTCCCCACCTCTGCCCTTGCCGTCCTAGAGCCAGCTGAAGAGCCCGTTGAGGAGAGAAGGGGAACAGCCTTGCAAAAATTAGCCCCGAATCAATCACACCCGGATGAGTTGGCAGCGTTTCCTTTATTGGTTCAGGACGGGAGCTCCAGGCGCCCTCCTACTGCCCGGCCCAGCGTGCCCGGAGCGCGGGTCAGTCCGCGGTCAGACGTCCCTGGCCCCCGCGCGCCTTCTGGGGCCCGGCTCGCCCGCCTGCCGCCGGCCATAGCGCAGGCCGAAGGAGTTCCAGTTGAAGGCAGACAGGCCCTTCTCCCGCCGCACCAGCGCCTCGCCCGGCGCCGGAGGGACCCGGCGGCGGGGGCTGCTCGGCTGGTACAGGGCTGGCCCGGACCCCTCCAAGCTCTCAGAGACCGCACACCGCCGGCTCTGCTCCAGGGGGCCGAGCTGCTGGCCTAGGACAGAGCCACAGGGAGAGACTGCGTGAGGCCGGGCCAACCTCTCCAACACCCCCCAGCAGCCCGTCCCAGGCTTTCCCTTTGTTCTTTGGCCTCCAGGAAGCTCAGAGCTCAAGGGCAGCTGGGAGCACCAGCATCTGAGCTGGTGGGTAGGCCATTGGCTCCGCCCCCTTTCAACACAGCTTTGATTTAGAATGTTGTCCAGAGTTATCTGCAATAATTTTCCTGTGAAATTACTTCCTGTTAGGAACCAAACGGGGCAGGACCTGGAAGGAAAGAACACGAAGGGGGTCGCTAGGGGTTCAGCTTGGCTCACGGCCTGGTCCTCTGTCGGGGTGCTGCATCAGGCTCCCCATTTGGCCTGAGAGTCCTGCTCACGCATCTCGCCTCTCAGAGTGCTTGGCACAGGGCCTGGCACATAATAGCGCCCCAGTAAGTGCGTGTTAACGATAGAAAAGCGAATGAAAAGCTTGTAGCTGCAGACATCAAGAAAGGGGAGCTAAGACCAGGTGCCCCCGCAGCTCCCAGTAACCGTAGCTCCCTGCAGAAGCGATGCCAGAGCTCCGTGAAAAGCAGAAATTGTCGAAACCGGTTTGGCTCAGTGGTAGAGCGTCGGCCTGTGGACTGAAAGGTCCCAAGTTCGATTCCGGTCAAGGGCATCGTACCTTGGTTGCGGGCACATCCCCAATAGGTGGTGTGCAGGAGGCAGCTGATCGATGATTCTCTCTCATCGATGTTTCTAGCTCTCTGTCCCTCTCTCCTCCTCTCTGAAAAAAAAAAAAAAAAATCAATAAAAAACAAAACAAAAACAAAACAGAAACTTCTCTGGGTCACCTCCCCAGGTGGGAGTGATCTCCACTCTTCATCCTGAGGGTGAACAAGGCTAACTTGGAAGGCCCTTCACGTGAACCAGCTCCGAATACCCAGTGGCCCCAGCCCATCGTGGTGAGAGACGAGTGGGCAGGAGGCGTGGTGTGTGAGTGGGCGGCGCTGCTTGGCTCTGAGGCCCACTCCTCACGGCCCCCGCAGACCTTGGAGGGGTGGGGGCGTGTCCAGAATTCGTGATCACCTTCCTAGCCCAGTGGTCGGCAAACTCATTCGTCCACAGAGCCAAACAGCAACAGCACAACGATGGACATTTCTGTGGAGAGCCACATTTTTTAAACGTAAACTCCTTTTAACTCCACTTCTTCAAAACAGACTTGCCCAGGCCGTGGTATTTTGTGGAAGAGCCACACTCAAGGGGCCCAAGAGCCGCCCTTGGCTCGAGAGCTGCAGTTTGCCAACCACGGTCCTAGGAGGTGCCCGGGGCCGGGCCCCGGTGGGAAGGGACGGAGGCTTCCCTCCCGGCCACGCCTGCTATCCCGGCAGCAGAGTCACTTCTCAGGCGGCCTTTGGTGCCTCCCCGAAAGCCTTTCCCCCAAACAGCCCACACCCTCGTTGTTCACCCAGAAAGGACATCTGGACCCGGGAGAGAACACACTCCTGGCAAAGGACACGGGGCTGCGTCCTCCCGGGCTGGGCGAGTTCAGGGCGCAGTGAGAGCGCCTCTGTAGTCCGCTCCCTGCTCGGAGTCCCGCAGCCAGAGGCACTGCGGTCCCGAGAGGCTGGGCCGCGGCTCCTGCTGGTCCAGAGAGCTGACCAAGCAGCCTTAGGCCACGAATCCCGACCGCAGGGAGCTCCGCACCTGCTGGCCTCCTGCAGTGTGTGTGGGGCGTCTTTACCTCTTTGGGCCTCAGTTTCTCCAGCTCATCGGTACCATAGTAACCCATAAGGTGGGCAGGATTTGTGCTTTTGTGTAGGGTCTTCTCCCGCCCCGCCCCCCAAAGTCCAAATCAAGGGACTGGGGTCTCTGATGAGCGAAGCCTGCATAGCCGACTCCTTCCCCGCAGATCTCCCCGGAATCGGAAAAGGGCGATCCATCTCTCTGTGAAACCCCTCGCTGGCTCCCTCCCGGCCTCTCCCCCGGACGAGGCGTACCTGTGGCTCCCGGGTTCTCGGCGGGCGCCGCCGCCTCTTCTAAGGAGTCCCTGAAGGAGGTGGCCCAGAGGAAAAGCACCAGCTGCCAAGAAGCCAGCAGGTTCATCCTGGTGAGACGTGCAGGTCCTGGCAGTGCCCTGAGGCCCAGGCAGAGGGAGGGAGGAGGGAGAGGTCAGGCACAGGTCAGGGCTGGGAGCTGGAGCAGAGCCCACGGGGAAGGTCTGCCCTTGGAGACCCCACTGGAGGGATGTGTCCCGACAGACGGGCCATGGAGATGGGACCGGCACCACTTGCACAGTAGAGTCAAAGTGGGACTCGTTCTTGGGGAGGGTCATCAGGGAGGGCTTCCTGGAGGAAGGATCTCTCTGGGTGGGAGGGGCAGGATGGCTCCGGGTGGAAAGTGTTATCTGCAATAATTTTCCTGTGAAATTACTTCCTGTTAGGAACCAAACGGGGCAGGACCTGGAAGGAAAGAACACGTAGGGGATTGCTAGGGGTTCAGCTTGGCTCCCGGCCTGGTCCTCTGTCGGGGTGCTGCATCAGGCTCCCCATTTGGCCTGAGAGTCCTGCTCACAGTGCTTGGCACAGGGCCTGGCACATAATAGCGCCAAACAAATATCAGGTTTGCTTGAGAGGAATGTTGGGGAGATGAGGAGGGAGAGTGGTGAGCAGGAGTGAGCAGGGAGGGGTGAAGTGAAGAGGGCACAGGAGCGCCACCTCACGGAGGACCGAGGTCGACATTCTCCCCGCAGCCTGGCACTTCCCTCCGTGCTGAGCTCTGCAGACACCCAGACCCGGTGCTCCTCTCCCCCCGTTGGCACACGCTGCTCAAGCCTGGCCCGTTTCCTCCCTGCTGCCATAGAAACGGATTCTTTCCCCTTTGCACGAGCAGGGAGGAATGGCAGTCATCTTGTTCTCTCGTGGACTTGGACAGCCCGAGGTGTCATACTGCCTCGGATCCAGGGAAGAGAAAAGCCTTCTCCCGACCTGTCAGGTCACGTGTCTCCTCTTTGTATTTCTGGCCGGCTCAAAGAGGGTCGGCATGGAATCGACCTCAGAATGTGGGCTGTAGGGGTCGGAGCTGTGTGCTCACTCTGACCCTCCCTCCAACCTCTTTCCCTTTACCCTCTGCTGCCCCCTCCCATCTCGTCCAGCTCCCAAGTCTAATTTCTCTTTGAAAAAGTCATCAGCCGAAACCGGTTTGGCTCAGTGGATAGAGCATCAGCCTGCAGACTGAAAGGTCCCAGGTTCGATTCCGGTCAAGGGCATGTACCTTGGTTGCGGGCACATCCCCAGAAGGGGGTGTGCAGGAGGCAGCTGATCCATGTTTCTTTCTCTCTCATTGATGTTTCTAATTCTCTATCTCTCTCCCTTCCTCTCTGTAAATAAATAAATAAATAAATAAATAAAATATATTAAAAAAGAAAAGAAAAAGTCATCAGATAGCTGGAGGTGATCCAGCAAACACGATTAAAAACAAACTAATGAAAAGGCAGGAGAGCTACAGGTGGAGCCAAAAAGGGTGTGGCTGCCAGATCGGAGGCCCCGAGACACTGTGGGGTGGAGTGAGGGGCCCCTGTGTGCCCACCAGCCCCATCAATCCCCTTGTTCACCCCCCACCCCCCATTCCCTCCCGCTCCCTCCAGGACTCCGGCATGGCCTGGAGGGGAAGGATCCAGAAATGGGGTCAGAAGTCCTTGGATCTGGCCCCAGCGATGCCCGCCCTCCCCATGAGACAGGAGCCAGTCACCCCCATCTCCGGCCTTAGTGCCCCGCCTGTAAAATAGGACCATTTGGGTCCGCCTGGCCACCGAGTGTCCCCACAGACGGCCACTTGTCCTTGCAGACTCTGACTCTGTGGAACCCATACCGCAGCCTCCTGCACCTGCCTTAAAGGGCGGGGAGCAGAGGCAGGACCCACCCATTAGAGAGACAAGGGTAAAACCATTTTTGTGTGGCTGCAGACTGTGGGTGCACAGAGTCCAGGTGACTTTGGAAATCATTTCTTGAGTACCGACTGGGTGCTGTGTTAGGTGCTAAGACACAGGGGCTAGGGGCTAGGGAGCACAGGTGCTCAGACACAGACCTGCTGCAAGCCCTCTTCCCCATCTCAAGAAACTGGCATCCTCAGGCAAGACACTGAGTCCTGAGCAGCCCATTGGAAGAGAACACTGTGAGCGACAGGCCGAAGGTGTGTCAGTCAGTGTAAAGGGGTCTGGAGGGTCCAGGCTGGTGTCTGCAGGGGGTGGCACCTGTGCTGAGTGTCTGAGAGGCAGGCAGGTGACTGTCAGGAGGGGGCTCTGCTAGAGGGATAGCATGGAGTGTAAAGAAGGGCCACCAGGGGCCTCACCCCGGAGGGGAGGGTCCCAGGCAGAGGAATGTGTGGAGCATGTCAGAGGGAGCCTCTGGCTGCTCTGCAGAAGCAGGTGGGGAGGGAGGGAGGGGGAGCGGGCAGGCTGTGTGTGCCCCTGGCCTCTCCCCTTCGCCTCCTCCCAGCACGTACCATGGTGCCACGCGAGAGTTCTGCGTTTCCTGATGCTCATTCACACACACACACACACAGCTGCTCATTCACACACACAGCTGCTCATTCACACACACAGCTGCTCATTCACACACACACACACACACACACACACACACACACATACACACACACACTGCTGCTCATTCACACACACACACATGTTCTCCCAACTCTTCACACGTGAAATGAATTGCTTAGAAAAAAGCCATCAGCTTCCAAGGGCCCCGGTGGCCGTCCTCTGTGGCCCCACCCGCTGTTGAGCCTTGTGAGGGCAGAAATCCCAGGTGTTTGGGAAGCCTTTGAAGTGGGGTGGCTCCCTTCCTGGGGCTGCCTTCCTAGCAGCGCCAGAGGCTCTTTGGCTGGGCTCGTATCTGCCATCCGCAAGTTGAAGAAGGAGCTCAGAGGAGCCCTGCTGAGCCCATGGCCCTAACGGGTCCCCCAGCTTTCCCCTTGAAGGCTCCCGTGGCCCCTGATCCCAGCCACAGAGTTCAGGCAGTAATCACAAGGAACTGCAGCCATTCCTGCCCGAGAGGAGTCCTTGAGAGGGTCTGGGCCTCACAAATAACGTGCAGATGGAGGCACTCGCCAGTAACCTGGCCGGCCTTGTCGCCAGGCCCCACCAGCCCCACTCCCCTGCCTGGGGCACCTCCGTCAGTGCTGGAACTGGGCTCCTGCTCCATCCGAGGAGCCTCCTGAGCCTGGGCAGACCCTCCCCCAGCGTGATGCCCAGCGCACCTACCTGGCTCTGTCCTGGTCCCGGCAGGTGGGAGCTCGCAGGGTGTCTGGTGGGTGAACGCCAGCAGGGCAGGGCGTTGGGCTCGCTCTTGCCAGTGCCCCGATCACATCCCTGCGCCTTTTATAAAGCCCAGGTGACGTCTCCCGGCCCCGGCCCCGGGTCTCCCTCTCCCTCCTCCGCAGACCCCCCTGGAGAGCGGGCTGCTGTCTCCCGCCCCCTGGCTGTCACGACTGGAGTAAGCCTCCCCCACCCTCTCCAGAGCTTCCAAGGCCGGCTCTCTGATTCCCTCTCCCCTCCTCCTCCCACTCCTCCCAGACCCGCTCACCGGGAGGCCCCCTGTGCGTCATCACCGTGGAAGTGGCCTGTGTGAGGAGGCATGTGGTGGGGGGTCAGCAGGAAAAGGTCCCCCTCCAGACAGGAGCCACGCGCACGCCCAGGGTGGCACGCCCAGAGTGGAGTGGGCAGCGTGAAAGGCAGGAGGGCGGGGAGATGGGCACAGTGGCACCAGGGGTTCCAGTTCCCCCAGTGCTCCCAGGCCTGCCGGCTGGTCTTGGGGCTCAGACCAGGAGGGGGCTCCTCGGCTATAATCTGCAACTGGGGGGGGGGTCTTCATTTCCCCCTCCCTCCTCCCTCTTCACTCCCTCCTCACTCCGTCCTTTCCTTTCTTCTTTCCCCAAACAGCAACTGAGCACTGCGCAGCTCAGGGCTCTGGGACGGATTTAACAGTCAGATGGGTAACACCTGTGGGCAGCTAAGCGCCCAGAACACAGGGTCGCTCAGAGACGCTGGGCCTGGGTGGGAGAGCCTTTCCCTGGGAAGTGCGGTGGGGAGGTAAGAAGTGACTCTCAGGCTCTCAGGACCCGCTTTCGGGGGCGTGGCACCGCCACGGCACTTGGAACTGCTGCGCTCCCACTGGAAGGCAGAGACAGGCCTCCCTCCCTCTGCACCCTCAGCGCCCACGTTTCTGCTCGCACAGACACAGAGGCCTCCCAGACATTTCCTAGGTGCAGGTGTCCCTGCAGACGGGCACACGCCCTGTGAGGAGCTCCAAGGGCAGGCAGTGTTGGTTAAAACTCATCCATTTGCATCCGACGGCTTTCAGCCGTCAGAGCGTGTGCGTTCTGGGGGACGCCCTCTGTACACATCGCGGGGAACTCTGGTCTCGTTCTTGGGCCCGCGATCGTGACCTTTACCCTTGGACCTGGGCTCCTGGGACAGAGCCTCTTCCTCCTGTCAGCCCAGGCCAGTGGTCGGCAAACTCATCAGTCCACAGAGCCGAATAGCAACAGGACAAGGATTGACATTTCTTTGGAGAGCCAGATTGTTTAAAACTTAAGCTTCTTCTGACGCCACTTCTTCAACACAGACTCGCCCAGGCCGTGGTATTTTGTGGAAGAGCCACACTCAAGGGGCCAAACGGCCACATGTGGCTCGAGAGCCGCAGTTTGCCGACCAGGGGCCCAGGGCTCTGAGGCGGAGGCTGACTCTACCCTCAGGCAGGAAGCTCTCCCAGCACAGGCTCTGTGTGGGGGGATGTCTCGAGCGGACATCCACCTGCGGACGGAGCAGCACTTCCTGCCGGGACAGGATCTCCCCCGTCACGCGTCCAGTGCCTCCTGCTCCCGGGGCTGGCACACACCTTGTCACTCTCAGGAAGAAAACGAGCCTCTGAGAGCGGCCTGCCCTGTGCCGTGTAGAGTGAGACGCCCCGAGTCAGGCGAAGACTTCACAGGCCCGAGGCACTGACCGGAGTCTCTCTCGCACACGCACAGCTTGGGCTTTAATCTTTGCTTTCCCTCCCGTACAGAGCGGGGTGTGGTCCCGGCCCCTGGCCCAGCTCTGGGGGGCCCTGCAGCTCTGCTCCCAACAAGGGAACCTGAGGTCAGTCACCTGGCGCCATCCTTCCTGCTGGACGCGGAGAGGCCCGGGGGCGCGGGGAGGTGCGTCAGCGCAGGAGGGGGGGCCTGAGAGGGTGGCCCCATTTCCTTTCCAGGCCCCTCGGCCAGTGATCCAAGTTCAAGGAGCTCATCTCTGCGGCTCAGACCATCGAGCTGGAGCCCTGGAACCTCCGGAACAGCTGTGGGAGCCGAGAGTCATTACTCCAGACAAAGAGTGGAGAGCAGACTCAATGTCAGGGTGATTAGGAGCTGGCCTTGAGCGGGGAGCTGTGCCACGGGCAGACACGGAGAGGGGCTTGCGGGGATGTGCCCAGCTGGCGGGCGAGCCGGGTGATGGCTGAAGGGCCTCGCTGGGCGTCTCAGAGAGCCCAGGTTCTGTCAGATGGTTCCGAGAAAGAGCGTGGGGGGAGGCGGCGGGGGATAGGGGAGGGAGAGACACGGGGGACCACTGCCCACGCCTGCCCCAAGGAGAGGACATGCTGCTACAGCATTCCCTGCTGTCATTAGCTGTCACACATCCTCTCCACATCCGGGGCCCAGACCAGCCAGCTCCCCCCAAAATCTGTCACTTTCTGGCTGGGTCCCCTAGACTCTCTCAGTATCTGTTACTTTGGCTATAATAAAGAGCTATTAAAAGCCGCCATTTTCCATCCCCATCCTTCCTCCATCCCCATCCCTCCTCCATCCCCATCCCTCCTCCATCCCCATCCCTCCTCCATCCCCACCCCTCCTCCATCCCCATCCCTCCTCCATCCCATCCCTCCTCCATCCCCACCCCTCCTCCATCCCCACCCCTCCTCCATCCCCACCCCTCCTCCATCCCCATCCCTCCTCCATCCCCACCCCTCCTCCATCCCCACCCCTCCTCCATCCCCACCCCTCCTCCATCCCCACCCCTCCTCCATCCCCATCCCTTCTCCATCCCCATCCTTCCTCCATCCCATCCCTCCTCCATCCCCATCCCTCCTCCAGCCCCATCCCTCCTCCATCCCCATCCCTCCTCCATCCCCACCCCTCCTCCATCCCCATCCCTCCTCCATCCCCACCCCTCCTCCATCCCCATCCCTTCTCCATCCCCATCCTTCCTCCATCCCATCCCTCCTCCATCCCTATCCCTCCTCCATCCCCATCCTTCCTCCATCCCATCCCTCCTCCATCCCCACCCCTCCTCCATCCCCATCCCTCCTCCATCCCCACCCCTCCTCTGTCCCTATTCCTTAGGCACAGCTGCTCGGGCCCTCTCGCCTCACTGCCTTGTCCGATGGAGGAGAGCAGGGCGGGGGAGAGGAGCGGAGGCAGGCCAGCCTGGGGAAGGGAGTGCCCGGGGAGCTGGGGCGGGTCCACTGGACCTGGGGCAGCAGTTTTCCCAACTCCGTGTGCTCCCGCCACCCCCGGGGCCCACCACTGAGCCGCAGGCACACGCACTCACCTCACTCAGGAAGGGGATGTTGAAGGCATTGCCCAGGAAGCCAAAGGCCACAGGGAAGAAGCCCCTAGAACAGAGGGGTGGGGGGAGGGGTCAGTGATGGCCTGGGGTGGGGGGGGGGCAGGGAGATAGAGGGTAGCAAGGCTGAGGTCCACAGACAGGCGTTGGCTCCCAAGAGAGTGGGCCCCTGGGCACTGGGGGCAGGCTCCCCCCGCCCCCCCTGTGTTTTAGAGGCGGCCAAGTGGAATAGTTCAGAACGAAGTCCCAGCACAGCCAGCGTGGCTCAGTGGTTGAGCGCTGACCTATGACCAGGAGGTCATGGTTCCATTCCCAGTCAGGGCTCAGGCCTGGGTGAGATCCTCCGCCCCCTGCCTGTGAGGCCGGGCAGGGACAGCCTCTTGAGTGCTGGCTTCCCCCTCTGCAGAGAACAGCCCAGGATGGCGGTGGAGATGGCAAAGTGAGGTGATGATGGTACACGTTGGGGGCCTAGTAAACGTCAGCTCACTGCCCCCCCCCCCCCATCATTCCACTTGGGGGTGAGCCCTGCGTGTCCTCCTGCTGACAGGCACGGAGGGGGCACACCGCAGTGCTCCATGTGTGCTGCTCCCTTCACTTCACCCCTCACCCTACTGTTGGAGGGGTCTTTCCAATGTCCGATGCCCCTCCCCGTTTTTATTTTAATTTTTAAAATATGTCTTCATTGATTTCAGAGAGGAAGGGAGAGAGAGAGAGAGAGAAACTTCAAGATGAGAGAGAACCCCCACACCCCCTACTGGGGGTGGAGCCTGCAACCCCGACATGTGCCCTTGACTGGAATCGAACCCGGGACCCTTCACGCCGCTGGTGACACGCTATCCACTGAGCCACACCAGCTAGGGCCTCCTCCCCGTTTCCAATCCGCCCACGGTTCTCATCTCTTGCGGGGCAGGTCCAGCTTCCGCACACCCGCTGGCCTAGCCACTCAGAGGCCAGGCCCCGGGGGCCGGGGCTGCTCTCACCGGAAGAGGCTGAAGAAGCCGTAGGTCTCCAGGAACATGCCCAGGAGGGGCCAGCGCAGGAGCACCACGACCACCCCCCCCAGGAAGAAGCTGGTGCCCTTGAGCTTGTGCCGCTGGAAGAAGAAGAAGAGCGTCTTCCTCAGGCCGATGATGAGGGACAGGCCGGTCAGGAACAGCAGCTGCGGGGGAGGGAGAGGAGCGTGAATTCAAGCAGACTCCCCCCTCGGAGCCAGGGGCCAGCCTCCCCCCCTCCCCCAGTCAGGGGCCAGCCCCCCTCACCCCTCCCAGAGCCAGAGGCCAGCCCCCTCACCCCCCCCCCCAGCCAGGGGCCAGCCTCCCACACCCGCCTTGGGGGCCAGGGGTCAGGCCTGGAGCCACCCGCAGGCACGGGGCAGGACTTGCTAGCTCTTCACGGAGGGCGGATTGCAGGGGGGGTGACCCCGCCTTGAGTGCTGAGCTGACTGGAAACAAAGCTGCCCAGCGGCAGGGGCTGCACCAGGAGAACTTGGCCTTCTCTCTCTTCTCACCCAATGCCACCAAGTGCTTGGATCCCAACCAGTGCTTCGATTCTGCCTGCACGTCTCCCCACACCTCCAGGGAAGGCGGGTGGACGGAGACTCTCTCTCCGTGGTCCGAAGGGGAGCACCAGGCCGGCACAGGTGAGGCAGCCGCACCCAAAGCCGTGTGGGGCGGGCAGGAGGGCACTCCCCCCTCCGGCATCTGGCCCTTCAGTGTGGCTCCTGATGAGCCCTGAAGAGAGCCCAGGCTCCTGTCCACTCCCTTCCAGCATGTTCCGTGCACCTGAGCGCGCTTTCTCCAGTCCCGCGCACGCTTTCCTCTCCCCGGCTGCTTTTTCCCCGCCGCCCGTTCAGATGGGATGGGCTTGTCTCACGGTGACTTTGCCGCTCCTCTGCCTCCATCCCCAGGCCTGTGTGTTCCTGGGACACCCCCATCCCTAGCTGGGGGGAGCCCCGTGGAGGGACAGGGTCTCACCCCTCCCGGCTCTCCGGAGCCTCGCCCAGAGCCGGCGTGAGAATCCAGGCCCTCGGATCCTCTGCCCGGCAGGGCCTGCTGTCCGGCCCCAGCCGCCCTGCCGGCCCAGGCTGCTGGCACCGACCCCCCGATGGCCACGGGGGAAGGCACGTAGGGCTGGCCCCAGCAAGGGAGGCCTCGGGAGGCTGGGACGGTCGGTCCGCAGGGCAGGGGCACTCACGTTCCCAAAGGCCAGGAGCACGGAGTCGAAGTACAGGAGCACTCCCAGGAGGATGAAGAAGGCGCCGAAGCCGGTGATGCCCACGCCAATCTCTGCAACAGGCAAGGGGGCCGTGGTGGGAGGGGCTCTGGGGAGAGGCGGGGGCCTGGGATTTCCCGGGGTTACCCCTGGGCAGGTGCCCTCTGGGGAGCTCTGTGCTGGGGGAATGATGGGACGGGAAGGGAAGGATGAGCACCAAAGAACGTTGAGCTCCTGAGAGTAGTCCTGTGCTTCCGGCCTTCTGTCCTCAGAGCAGCCCTCTGCGTGGCTGCTGGGAGCTGCCGAGGCCCAAGCCACCCTTCGCAGAAGGGACCGCTGGCTACGCATGGCCACCAGCCCAAAAGGATCCAGAAACCACCCAGCTGTCCTGATTGTTTCTCAAGAGGCTGGCCCTCCCGTCTGGTTCCTCCCCTAATTGCCCCTGCCCTGCCTTTCCGGTGAAGACTCTGGTTTGGAAGAACAGAAGTCATCCATCAGTTGTGTGCTCGTCTGTCCTTCTGGAGTCCACAGCCCAGCCAGAACGTCCTCCCTCTCCTCCCACTCTCCTGCAGCCGTGCCTCTGGAACCCACCACTCACCCCGAGCCACAGTGGCCCTGAGTCCTGGTGCGCAAGGCTGGGCTGTGCGGCGCCCCCTGGTGGCAGTGCGCCTCAGGGCGTTGCTCTTTGCAGCTGCAGAGTTTGTTCAGAGCCAGGGAGGCCCGCACCCAAGGGCAGGACATTCAGGCCCTGGTTGGGTCAAGGGCTACGTGTTGGACACTTGGGTACATGTTTGAGACTGCTCCCCTCAGGAAGAGTTGTAACAACAACAGGATATGAAGCTTCTCTTTTTCTTAAACCCTCTCCGTAACACAGAATTGTTCATTTTACTTATCTTTGCCATTCCGAGAGTCGGCAAATGATGATTCATTGTATTGCTTCATTTTTAAGATTTTTTAAAATTGATTTCAGAGAGGAAGGAAGAGGGAGGGAGAGAGATAGAAATATCATTGATGAGAGAGAGAATCATGGATCTGCTGCCTCCTGAACGCCCCCTAGTGGGGAATGAGCCTATGATCCAGGCATGCGCCCTTGACTAAAATCTAACCCCGGACCCTTTTGGTCAGCAGGCCAACTCTCTATCCATTGTGCAAACCCAGCCAGGGCTGTATTGCTTCATTTTTAAATGGAACTAACTTGAAGTTTTATTTTATGTTGTGACAAAATACATGTGCCATCTTGACAATTTGTAAGTGTTCCACTCAGTGGTATTCAGTACCTCCACACTGTTGTGTTACCACCACCCCATCCATCTCCCAAACTCTCTTCATCTGACAAAACTGAAACTCTGTACCCACGGAGCCCGAACTGCTCACTCCTCCCGCCCTCCCGCGGCCGCTGGCCCCTCCTCACCACCTTCTGCCTCTATGGATCTGACTGCTCCAGGGCTGTTTTGTGACTGGCTTATCTCACGTACCACGATGTCCCCAAGGGTCATCCATGTTGTAGCGTGTGTCAGTCAGAATTCCCTTATTTTGAAGGAATAGTCCACTGGATGCATACACTGCATTTTGTTTATCTGTTCATCTGCGGATGGATTGCTTCTACCTTCTTACTTCTATGAACATGGGGAACAAATGTCCCTTCGAGACTCTGCTGTCAATGCTTTTGCTTTGCACCCACAGGTGGGATTGCTGGAGTCAACGGTAGCTCTATTTTCAATTTTCTGAGGAACTACCATACTGCGTTTCATAGCAGGTGCTCCATTTTATCTTCCCAGCTGCAGGGCACAAAGGTTTCCGTGCCTTCCCATCCTCACTGACACCTGCTATTTCTGTTTTGTAATCTCTTATCATTATTTATTATTTTTTAAACCCTCACCCGAGGTTACGTTTATTGCTTTTATTTTATAAAAATATATTTTATTGACTTTTCACAGAGAGGAAGGGAGAGAAATAGAGAGTTAGAAACATTGACGAGAGAGAAAACATCGATCAGCTGCATCTGGCATGCTCCCACTGGGAATGTGGCCACAACCAAGGTACATGCCCTTGACTGGAATCGAACCCGGGACCCTTGAGTCCGCAGGCTGACGCTCTATCCATTGAGCCAAACTGGTTTCAGCTGTTTATTGCTTTTAGAGGTATTGCTTACGTGCCCTGACAGGGGGTCGAACCCACAACCTTTTTGGTGTACAGGTCGGAGCTCCAAGTAGGGAGAGATCAACCAAAGGACTTATGTGCACACATAGGAGCCTAACCCAATGGTCAAGGACAATAGGGGGGTGGGGGCATGAGTGTGTGTGGGGGATTGAAATGGGGGGGTTGAGGACAAATATGTGATACCTTAATCAATAAAGAAATAATAATAAAAAAAAGATATTCTTTCAAAGATGGAGATGAGCTTTATCGTTCCCATTACAAACCGCACTCAGTTTGTCATCCGGAGAAGCGCCGGTCCTGTTTCCCTTTCGGCAGAGCCGGATTCCGTGAGGGCCCGGCGCCACATCGGATCTGTCGGCGGAGTGGCCACCTGCCAGCATCCGGCCAAACCGATGGCCGATTCCGCCTGCTTCTGACCACCCCGGGCTTGTTTCCTGCCCCCCCGCCCCCCTCGGCAGGGCCTGTCTGAACCTCGTCTCTGAGGGCCCGGGGCCCTGGGCCGTTGCGAAGACTGTGCTCTGTCCTCCACTGCTGTGTCACTTCTCTGTGCTCAGGAGGGCCTGGGTGTGCGTCTCCTTGGCCACGATGATTTTACATGGGAAGACCACAGCCCTGTTCTTCTGTCTGGATGGCCAAGGTGTTCCCGTTTCTTTTATCTTTTATTTTTAAAAAATTTTATTTTATTGATTTTTTTTTACAGAGAGGAAGAGAGAGGGACAGAGAGAAACATCGATGAGAGAGAATCATCCATCAGCTGCCTCTTGCAAATCCCCTACCGGGATGTGCCCGCAACCAAGGTACATGCCCTTGACCGGAATCCAACCTGGAACCTTTCAATTCGTAGGCTGATGCCCTATCCACTGAGCCAAACCGGTTTCGGCCAAGGTGTTCCGGTTTCTATGCCGGTTATAAAAGTATCTGGTCTCAGCTCACACAGCCACAAAAATACACCATGGATCCCAGGTCTGACGACCATCCTTCTCTTCTCTCTCCCCCCGGTGTGTGTGTGTGTGTGTGTGTGTGTGTTTGTGGGGCGGGGGGTGTTTTGTGTGGAAACACAGTGTACACATTTTACTAGGTTTCCCTTTTGTTTTGTTAAAACATCCACGTGCTCATCCTGTAAACACGTAGGAACAGCCTCTTCTTTATTTCGTGGAACCCGCCCAAGCTTCTCAGCTCCACACTCCGCCTTTTCTCCCGCCTCACACTTGCTTCCAAACAGCGATGTGCTGGCTGGCATCGCCGCTGCTCTCCTCACTGGTCCCGCACGGCTCCTCAAGGACTGGTGCCCCTGTGACGGGCAGCCTTCCCCACGGGCCACGCGGTGCCCCCGGCCTTCAGGGACACAAACATCACGGAAAAGGGTCGGAAGCTGTTCCTCTCACTCAGGCCTCAGACCTTCCTCCGCCTCTCCGGGCCTCGCTTAGCAATTTCAGTTCAGTTACCCATCTGGAGCCGCTCCTGAAGGTCATGGCTGAGGGAGGGGCTGTGGGGGGCATGTCACCAGGAGGGACAGAAGTGTCCGAAGTCCTACAGGATCCAGACAGAGGGGCAGGGCGCCCCCTGCTGGAGCAAAGGACGAGGGGAGGCTCCCGTAACTCTAGGGTAGGGGTGTCGAACTCAATCAGAGAAGGGGCCAAAATCTAAAATCCAGCCTAAATCGCGGGCCGAATGGTTTACTGAACAGTCATAAACTGTCATTGTGATGGAAACGCAGGGGAGTGCAGTGATGACAGCGCGGTGCGGGCCACATTGCAAGGCCTGGCGGGACGGATTTGGCCCGCGGGCCTTGTGTTTGACACATGTGCCCTAATGAGAAGCGGGGACCACCCGGACCCCAGAGATTGACCAGCTCCAGGTGTCCCTGTCATGGCAGGCCGATGCCTGCCTTAATCCTCACCTGTGGATATTTCTCCATGGATTTTTAGAGAGAGTGGAAGGGAGGGGGAGAGACGGAGAGTGAGAGAAGCATCGATGTGAGAGAGACATAGCAATTGGTTGCCTCCCACACACGCCCCTACCACGGCCGGGGATCGAGCCTGCAACTGAAGTACTTGCCCTTGGACTGGAATTGAACCCAGGACCCCTTGGTCCACAGGCTGATGCTCTAGCCACTGAGCCAAACCGGCTAGGGCCTGGCTGCCCTCTTCAGCAACCACCCCATCCTGCAGCTCCAGAGCGGCTGCCACGAGGAGCCCACAGCCTGCAAGGCTGCAGATGAGCTGGGCTGCCCCACCCCCACCCTGTGGCTCGCACTAACGGAAGCCAAGGGCCAGGTCCCTCCTGCTCCTGGAAGGGAAGTGCAGGTGCAAGGGTCCTGGCCCGAGGCTGTGCTGGGAGCCAGGGAACACCACTCACTTCTCATTCCTCCCTCTCCCTCTCTCAACATTCACAAAGGCGCTGAGAAGTTGCAAGTCCAACACAACAACATGTTTCCCCTGAAGCATCTGAGAGCAGCTGTCACGGGCTCTCTCACCCCTCTGAATGCTTCCGTGTGGTTTTCCTTTGCCAGGACATCAAAACCGAGAAATTAGCGTGGACACCTTGCTTCCGCCTAAAGCCAGACTGCTTTCCCGCTCACCAGCCGTCCGCATTTCTCACGAAAGGATCTGGTTCGGAGCCACGGGTGGCATTTGGGGTCACGTCTGTCATGTCTGGAATCGCACCTGTCTTTCCTTGGGTCAGTTATCGTGTATCTGCCCCTCTATTTGGGCTTGTCCCATGCTTGCTCGTGACTAGATATTGGTTCCGCAGAGAGAGCAACAAGATGGGATGCTGTGTTCTTCTCAATTGGGCCAATTACTGATGATGTTCTTTTTCTTTTTTTAAACATGTTTTTATTGATTTTTTTTGGACAGAGAGGAAGGGAGAGGGAGCAAAACATCCATGTGAGAAGAAACACTCATCCATTGCC